CAACATCTGGCACAAGAAAGGGCAGAGACACAAAGATAAACGATGTGTTTATTTGTTGGCAATAACTAAAACATAGCATTGATCTATGCTTGTGGGAATATATGAACAAACAGTTGTGTACCTGCAGTTGATACAACATGGAGCAGCATCTCCACCTCACAGGTGAAGAGAGTCCAGGAGCTGTACGAGTGTTCCCAGCGCACCACGTAGCCTTGTTCGCCTCCAATCATCACCTGGCCCAGCACTCCCTGTGGCATCCACAGGTTAGTCTGCCCCGAGCCTGAAGGTTGGGACAACATGTTATAGCAAGAGAAATATCTAATCTTAAATCTCCTTTAATTAGGTATAATACAAAATAAAGAACATACCGAGTGGGTAGAGGAGTTTAGGTGTTTGTCTCTTCCACAGTGTCTCGTCATCCTTGGAGATGATGTCATTGGGCTTATGTTTGTAAACTTGCGTGTAGAAGGACATCTTATCCAAAAAGTTGTAAACCTGTAAATAAAACTACATTGTTAAACCATTTACTTCGGGAATATTTGAGTGTGTAAATGTCCGAGTATAATATGAGGAATCTACCTTTGTAACAGTCGACTTGTTTGACAGAAGTGCAGTTAGAAGCTGCAACAGCGGTCCGATCTTATGGGGGAACATCCCGACCGCACTGTCCAGGATCATTCCCAATCCCATGTTTGGTTTCTGGATTTAGAATTTGACAAACAGGACAGATTGTCAACAATTTGGGGATTCCATCCAATTTCATCCCTAAAGACTCTTCTTTCTGTCTGTCTTTCTTTCTTTTTCTCACCATTTCCCAAAAGACTTCAGCCAGACTGGGAGCAGAGAGGACTTCACAGGCAGCATCGATCAGGTGGGAGCACTGTGTCGCCACACCATCAGTCTGTCACATGCATTACATGAAAGCGAGTTACAAATAAGAACTTGAGCGAGAACTTTTAACATATAGAACTGTAAAATCTGGATGTACAGTATACCTGCAGGCTTTCCTCTTCAAATGAAGTGATCACAAAAGAGAGAAGACCAAAGATACACATCTTTGCTGTGCTGGCTGTGCACTGGAGAGAAAAGAAAAGAGGTGACAGACAAAATATACTTTAGTATAACGTAGACGTTGGCACATACTGGTACAGCAAAGTATATTTTCTTTACTTGCTGCACTGTAAATATACACCACAGCTTGAGGGGTATGATTATGAAACCTGAAGTCTGATTTAGCTCAGACCGACTATAAAACTAATCAAAGTGAAAAGACAGTAATCATTAAAGAGTTTTCCTTTAACTTGAAGTTAAAGTTTTTCCCCACATTCTAAAGAACTAGTTCTGACCAAGTCTGTATCTATGTCCTCTTACATTATTCCCTGAGACTCCGAGGCCTTTCAGCATGGTTGAAATGTACTTGAAAACCCCCAGCTGCAGGGCGGTGTTGCCTATCCTCCGGATCACGGGGCTGGACTCGTCTGGTCTCAGAGTGTGTCTCAGCAGGACCCAGGCCAGCAGCACCGGCCCGTGATGAGGGATGTCGCCAAATGTCAACAGCAGCTGATCCATCTCCTGGAAGAAACGAGAGGAAATATGGAGGTTTATGTGTCTGTGTGGCGTATTCTACCTGCCTGAATCAGTTCACACACCGTACGGTTGCTTTACAGAACATTTATGTTGTAGAGACTGGGGTCAAACCTTGATGACGTCGGGAGCATTGGAGAACTGATGCTGCTCCGTACAGTCTTCTAGAGCACACTTGTGCAGGAAGTCTATGTCCATTCCCTCGACCAGGATGAGAGAGCTCAAATATCTGCAGGCCAAAAGAAACATTAAACAGTACACAAGGAATTAAATGTTAAGTAATGCTTCACATACACACAGACACTATGAGGAGCTCCTACCCAATGCGGTCAACCAGCGAGTCCATGCTCTTGTCTACTAGGTGTCTGTTGGTCTGCCGCAGCCCGAAGCCTTCTAATTTGAACATTTTGGTGAAGCTCAGCAGGTCGGATGGGCTCATCTCAAAGTAGGCGTAATACAGAAAGATGATCTCCAGCAGCAGAGACTGTTCCCTCAGACACTGCAGGAACCACAGTGACACCTGCCGCTCCGTCTTAAAACAACATTTAAATAACAATGTCACCATCTGAGTATTATGTTACAATGTACAGCACAGCATTATGGTATTGACCAGATATAAACCAAATTATCACCATGAGGTTTCCGTGAGTTTCCCATGTTGGTGCTTCTGCTTTGAAGAGGTTTTCAAACTGCAACTGGTACCGGCTCACCAGGTCCTTCTCCAGTTTATTGACACAGTTGCTGTACTCCGCCTAGACATAAACAAACATATCCAGTGCTACTTTACAGAAGCAAAAACAAATACACATATTTTCAGGGGAGAAATGTGACCCAAAAACCAGCTGCCTCTCACCCTGTAGGGATGTCGCTCATCCTGAAAGTATGTGAGTAGGAGCAGGACACATCTGAGCAGACACATGCGCTCCTCGTAGTAATAGTCAGCTACCTGCGAGTACAACACAGGACATATAACTATCATGCTGAATCATGTGAAACTCTACGGCAGGTGTAAATGGCTGCAGATATCTGTACTGACCTTCAGTAGCAGTGTCTGGCTCTGTCGCTCATCCTTGAGAACAACCTGTATGGAAGACTCTGTTAGCCAACATCTGAATGTCTTTCATGGTAATATCTTGTGTTATATTTAAGTGATATTACGTTATATTTTTTCCGTAAAAACTGCATTTGACAGGTACTTTTTTGTGGCAAGATGTAAGACAAGACACAAATTTCAACACAACTGAAAGATAACATCTTAAAAAGTGGGAACAGACACCTTCAGGGAATTGCGTGTTCCTCTGTAGTCCTCCTGTAGGTAACACTGTAACAGCTGCACACTCTGTTGTTCATCAAGAGCCTGTAACATTATTAAAGCATTACATTATGATCAAATCATCATGAAGTGCACCACCAAATGAAGAAAGTAAATCTGATATTTTTTTACATTAAACAAGCATGTTTTACTCTTACCAATAGTTTACTGATCCGTAGACCAAAATCCTTCAATGGTTGTGCGACATCTTTGTTCTCCTTCACTTTCCCAGCAGAGGATGAGCTAGAACAGATGATGCCAACAGTCATCATTTATATTGTTATGAATAGTAGTGGATTTGATGTTAGGATAAAATAACTAACATACCTGGGTGGCTTATAGTAATTGAGTCCTTGATGCAGTCTGTCCCAGTGTCTGTCCAGCTCTGCCTCTATTTGAGCCTGGGACCATTAAACATGTCACATCAAGAGAGAAAATCAGTTGTGTTATCTAAATAATATGTTGTGAGTGGATAAGAAATATATTTGTTGTCCATCATAAACTCTGACTCAACCTCCTTCACAGAACTCTGGCATATATGGACCATAAGGACGTCTGGCAAGTAGACATACCTGCTCTCGCAATGCAGATCTTCCCAGCAATATGGTCCATAGTTCTCGACTGCTCCTAAGGGAATAATGGGTATATTTTAGCAAATAAATTAAGAGATGATTTACACTGACATAAATGTGTCAACGGTCAGACCATTCTAAGCTATTCTTTAGATATTTGGCCTCGTCAGATATGCATGTATATCTATCTATATAAATATATACACACATACATGTTTTTGGCTTATCCAGTTAAATGCCTGAATGATCAAAATATCAAAAGCATATATTTATTTCCATGTACCAGCTGAGAGACAGTGCTTGTATACACTGATACAGAGTTGGTGCACTGTAGGTGTCTATAAAACTAATGGCTATGTAGCGTTACAGATACATGCTGTGAAGCCCTTATTAAACCAGTATTTTGTGCTGCTGTGCGTTTTATAACTCATATATTGTAAAGATAATGGATTTATTTTAAACACTTTAAAAATAACACCTTAAACTTAACATGAGTTCATATTAACTGTGTACAACGTCCAGTTTATTTGATTTATCAACAGGTCGGAGGCTGAAGTAGTTAATGTGGCGGTGACATGTGTCCATTATTAAACTTTGTAAAAGCGAAACATTACATAGCTTACATTACAGTAATGTAAGCTAACGTACTTTGTCATTGTCCTCTCCATGCTCAAACCTAGCGTCACTCTCTTCTCAGTCACAACTAACCAGTAGCCGGCTATCGGAACTAATTAAGAGGCACTTTAACTAGAAAAAAGCTCGTCTGCTTCTCGTCCAGTGAAAAAACCCAGTTATAGTTTACGAGTCAACTTCACAGACATGTTGTCATGCTGCTGACACACGGCGCTGCTGAAAAGCCATTCAAATGTCCAACTGCTAGCGGATGCTAAGCTAAGTTAGCGTGGCGCTAACAACTCAAAAGACACCTTGTAAAACATAAATGTTACTATCGATAGGGCTTAATAAAGAGACACGTTGTGTCGAAATGTCTGCTCGCTGGTAGATACTTAAAAACTATTTAAACAACGCAGTCGTTAGCTAAAGTTTGTTGCCATCTGCCTACCTGACGCTCATCTCTGATTCCGCCATCTTCGTTCCTGTTCTGTGATTGGTTGATGTGCTGGATCGTCATCGCCATCGTAGGCACTTTCTTCTTCGCTGGTATTCTTATTGTTGCACTACTGCCTACAGTCGTATGATTACTGCCACCTTCTGGAACGAAATTAAGCCCGCCGAGATCCAAACGCTTCACTTAATTCTCCCGTAGGCACATTTTAAAGAAAAATAAAACATCTACATCTCTACACATTTAATCCATTATAAGTATGTGTTCGTATATGTTATTAAGTGTGATTCATATCATATACTGAACTAGCCATTATGCAATTAAGTGTGTAACTTAATAAAAAAAATATACACAGCATTCGATTTCATCACGAAACAATATCTGAATTTATTGAATTTATAAATATAAAAAAAAAAAAAAATGAAAACCACGCCTTTAAGAGATATTTTTACGGTGGCACCACGTGACCCGGCTGTCAAACATGGCCCCCTCCTTCTGGGTGTGAGGGAAACGACAGCTGACAAAGGAAAGAAATCTTTCAAAAAAGGACGGCGCCCATTCGTTTCAACACCGCACCTCTGTGCAGATAACACTGCACGCATGTGGTATGTTCTCTCGTCTTTGTCAGCCTGCTTTTCGTTTCCTGTCCGCCTGCAGTGTTGCCCTCTGTGGCGTTATGATAACTCAGCTGTATTCCGCTGCTAGCTTGATGCCGTCCGACGTTGCAGCATCCCTGTGTGGCTTGCATTCGTATGGTTAGTAGGGGTTAGCTGGTCCACGTTGCGCAGTATTAGCATGGCTAATAACAAATGACCGGATACGTTTTTCTTCTTCTATATCTCTAAAGGTTGCAGCTGATGTAGTCAGAGCATGCTCCGGGGTTTAGTTCATGTGCTTAGATGTGTGTGTGTGTATGTGTGTTTCACTCATGACTTGGGGAATGTTCAGTGTGGCCATAGTTCATGACAGAAAGCAGATAAAGGATGAGCAAGGTTCATTGTGAGGAGAAGCTAACATAACTCATGGTCTCAGTACGCCCAGTCTCAACACTACTGGACTCATTAATGCATATTTTCATTTTTCTATTCTTGTAGTGATTTGTTTATTTCCTTCCTCCTTTTATTTTCTAGATATCCTTGGCAAGAGAAAAGTGGCTGCAAAATGATGAAGTGTGCCAGAGAGAGGAAGTGACAGAAGTTCATTGTTGCAGACCATCTGTTCAGACCAACCCGTCCGGCCTTCACAATGATCGTCCGCCCTGCAGCCATTCTGATCAACCCGGTGCTCGTGGAGTCCGCCGTGGTTCTGGCCATGTTGCTGTGTGTCCACATGGCGATCTGGAACCAGCACTCCTGGTGCTGCATAGCCCTCTTCGTGCAGGCTTTCTACGTACAGCACAAATGGGACCGCCTGCTCCGGTCCGGGGCCGCCGTGTTCCAGTTCCGCCCTTCAGCGAACAGCGGCATCGTCCCGGCCTCCATGGTGATGCCTCTACTGGGCCTGGCGCTGAAAGAAAAGTGCACCGCCTCGGGGAATGTCTACTTTGAGCGGTTCTCCATGGTGGTCACCATCACCGGCATGTGCCTGGCTCTGTTCCTCTCGTTGATCGCGCTGGGCATCACCAGACCCGTGCCCACCAACACTTGCGTGATCGCCGGCGTGGCCAGCAGTGCGATTCTCTACACGGCAAAACAGACGCTGACGGTGTCGGAGGTCATCGAGGTGTTGGAGGTGCTGTTGATCTTCGTTTATCTCAGCCTGATTGTGCTTTACCTGCTGCCGCGCTGCCTCACGCCCGGAGAGGCGCTCCTCATCGTGGGCGGAATCAGCTTCATCGTCAACCAGCTCATCAAGCGCTCCCTGAACCTGGCGGAGGTCAAAGGTGATCCGGTGAACTATTTCCTGCCGGTCGTGGTGGTGGGCTCGCTGCTGCTGGGGGTTTTCTTCGCCCTGCTCTTCTGCTTCATGGAGTCCGAGACCTGGGTGTCGTCGCTCTTCTTCCACATGATGACGGCCGTCCTGGGTCTGGGGATCCTCATGCCGTGGCTCTCCCTGTTCATCGGCCGGCACCCCATCATGTGGCTGCTGGACTTCGTCACGTTAAATGACCGAAGACTTTACCTGCTGGGGTACTGGCTGTTTCTGGCTGTCGTGGCCACTTGCGTTGTGCTGCACCAGAACTACCAGCGCCAGTCAGGCTCCAAGAAGCACCAGGCCTCCACCGTTGTCAGAAAGTACTTCCACCTGATCGTGGTGGCCACGTATGTTCCGGGTCTGGTGTACGACAGGCAGCTGCTTCATGTGGCGTCCGTGGGCTGCTTGGCCATTTTCCTGTTCCTGGAGTACGTGCGGTACTTTCGGATCAGGCCGCTGGGTCAGCTGCTCAGGCAGCTGCTCACTTTGTTCCTGGATGAGCGGGACTCTGGCCCTCTGATTCTGACCCACGTGTACCTGCTGCTGGGCATGTCACTGCCCATTTGGCTGTTCCCCGGGCCCTGTGCCCCTAAGGGGATCCTACCTGGTGCGGGCGGCCTGGTGCCTTACGCGGGTGTGCTGGCCGTGGGGGTCGGGGACACCGTGGCGTCTGTGTTCGGCAGCACCATGGGGGAGATCCGCTGGCCCGGCACTAAGAAAACCGTGGAGGGGACTGCGACGTCCGTGTTCGCCCAGATCATCGCCGTGGCCATGTTCCTCATCTTCGATGGGAGCATCAATCTGAACTCCACGTACTCGTGGATCGTTGGCTGCATCACTCTGGTGGCCATGCTGGAAGCCTACACCTCCCAAATAGACAACCTCCTACTCCCCCTCTACCTCTTCATCCTGCTGTTGCTTTGACTGGACAGAAGGCACGGAAACAAAATCCCTCCCACTGTCCCCAGCTCTTTATAGGGGGAAGAAATATGGATGAGTTTGGGGTAAAAAAAAGCGTAAGAAATATGGAAAAATTTGATAGAAGTAACAGAAGTCTCTTTAGGGCACAAGAAACGAATAGTTTAGAGCCGACGGCTTAATCAAGCCGGGTGATGGGGCACTAAATAAATCCGCTCCTCACTTTACGCGGCAGCAGACATGATGTTAGCGTGACGTTAGAGACCGTGGCCCTCAGATTACATTTCAGTATCGGTCGCTTTGAGGAGCGAGACGAATATTTCAGAAGAACTTACTGAGGAATATGAGTCAGAGCTGCTAATATTCCCTGTCGTGTCACACCTCTGTATTGCCTTTGAAGAACATGATTTAGAGTTAGCTTAGTGATATCTTTTTCCTCAATCAACATTTTTTTGGTTGTGAGATGATGTCGCCTCCCCCGATGGCAATACGAAGGACTTACTGCTGAAAATATTTGCCTTAAGAAGTATATTTTCTATCACACATGACCTACTGTTGTAGATGAAAGCATGACGGCCCCACTCGACTCTTCTTTATAAAGGGCTGGTTTATACTTCATATGGCAGAAAGTCACGCTGCTCTTGCATGACACTAATGTGAAATTCGGTACTAGAACATGTACACGGGTATCCTGCAGTTTATTTCAGTTTGAGGTCTGATGGGACCCCTTAAAGGTACACTTAATATATACGTTTCCTTCTGACACTAAGCCGTCAAACCTACTTATTTTTGTAGATACGCTTTGGGCCAAAAATAATGAACATAAGCCCTTTTTCTTTATAGCATCTTTCTTTCGCAACAATTTTATTGATTATTATCTCAACAGAAATGTCCACCAATGCCATCAGGGTTCTCCTTATTCTTGGACGAGGATGGTACGGTCTATAACCTGGAACCTGTTTTCAGAATGAATTACTTAACAGCCTTAATGTTTATGTTGATCTATAGGAGTTCTTTGGTGTTTCTTTTTTAAATTATGTATCAATTTATTAGCATGTTCCTACTATGTTGTTTTTTGCAATCATCCTTACATTTTCTAAAATGTAATATCGCATGTTGAGTGCATCAGAGAAGAAAGATCAAATTGACACGCCTCCTATTTTAGTCAATTTCTTCAGCACGTGTTTAATGATGGAGAAGCAGGACCTGTGAAAAGACACATTAGTCCTTTGGGGTTTGATTTTTAAATGAACATAAAAGGCTTCGATGTTGTGGTTGCTGAGCGTTGCTACATACATTTTTGTTGATTTTCATTCAAGTTGCGTCTTGAACATGAACATACTTGAAAATGATGCTTACTGTTGTCTGTAAAAATAGGAATCTGCCATCTTGTTTTGACACATTTGAAAAAAAGAAGAATAAAGTTGGTGAATGACGACGTCGATGAGGAGTTGCTGAATATAAGATTTAAATGTCGGCTGTATTGTCTCCATGAATAATAGATCAAAAAGTTTACTAAAATTAATCTTCCAATGTATTAAAACATTGATACATTCATTAAAAATGTCGGTTAGTCACCATTAGTCCACATTAACTTTGATGGCAGCACATTGTCCGGTTAAAAGAGTCTCTCCATGAACTGCAGCACCAGATGGCCCCCCCCCCCACCCCCCCTTCATTTCATGTAGAGAGGCGGGAAAGGAAGCTCTTCAGTGGGTTGCAACCTTTAAAGAGCAAAGAAATGGAAATAAGTTGAGTCACGATGAGACGTAACACAATCCTCCTCCTCCCAAATGAAAAGTTGAATTCACGAGTAATAAAAACAACACAAAGGCTGCCGCAGCTGTTGTTGGTCTGGAATGACCAGGAGCTTATGGTGGCTAATGTTAATGTAGAAATAGGAATAAAAGAAACACCACAAAGCCAGACTGCTCTTATCTGCTCTCACCAGTTGTCAGGGCTCCAGCGGGTGTCCTGGGTTTCCATGAGATGGAAGGTGTAGACGTGGCGAGAGTCCTCTGAGGTGTTTACTGCACTGCGATGCACCACCTCCCCGTGGATCAGGACTACGCCACCTGGACATTCATCAAATGAATTGCTGAGTCTATAAAATGTCCAAAATGATGGCTTGTTGTCTGTCTGATCAACTGTCAGAAACCCAAAGACGTTCAATTTACAAAGACATGAAAACTAGCCAATCCTCACATTTCAAACGGCTGTTGTTGGATGAATTCCTTTAACATTTAATCAATCATTAAAATAGTTGATTAATAGATTAATATGTAGTTTTGTTGATATATATATATATTAAATTTAAAGACTCAAGTGAATTACCTTTTTTGACAGGTGCAGCGACAAACTTGTTGTCGGCGTAGGTCTGCTCTCGACCCATGAAGTCTGTCAGGGGAAATGTGCCCGTTGGCGTTCGCACCATGCGGCGAGAAATGCCACCTGGGCAAAAACATGACTTAACTCCACCAAATCACACAGTATGATGGAGAAACAAAGTAGTGGCTGGAAGCTACAGTGTGAGGTTAGTTATATAGAAAGCTTACTGTTGTGTGAGCCCGGGATGAACCACAGGCAGCCATTGTTAACAGTGGCATCTTCCAGGGCGATCCACAGCCCCATAACTCTGCCCAGGGGCTCCGTGTACAGAAACGTGGCATCTTGATGCGGCGTGACTAAAAACAAACCAATGCAAGATATGTCATAGAAATAATCTTACATACGGAGTTCTGTATTCTTCAATCTATTCGTTTTCTTACCTTCTCCACCGAACCCTGGTTGCTGGAGGAGTGAGAAGGAAAAGTGATGAGCTACCCATACGAAGACACAGACAGACAGTAAAGCTTTACCTTAAAAATGAACATGCTCTGCAGAACCACAGGACTCATTAGACCCAGCTTCTTTGCCATCCCCTACGAAAAAACAATTCTGTGTGTTGGTTATTCTGTGACTCAGCACTTCATGTTCATGGTATCAGCTCAACAGCTCACTCACCTGGATTTTGGGTGAATGTGTAACATTTTTGTACAACGGCTCATAGGCATGTAGGGCTGAAAAGACAAAACAACAACTGGGATTAGTCATGACCTTTTGAAGCCCTCTGCGCGTGATGTTTTGGAAGATTTGATAACTCACCATGTCCGACTTTATTTAGCGACCGCTGTTTTGGAACGATGAATTCCCCTGCAAGACAGGAAATGCTTGATCCATCTAATTTGGCGTTTTACCATTTTTAAAGTGAAACAGATCTCACCTTTGTCATCAAAAACTCCCTTCTCAAAGAAAAAGCGGATCTTGTCTCCACTGGTGATGAAATAGTCAGCATTTCCCTGCGTTACAAAAGGGAGAGGCACACTGACTAGACTGCTGACATAAGCGTTTTCTATTAACCTGAAGGGACACACTGAGGATCATGTACCTAAAGACTACAAGGGGAACACAAGTGGGGACCTTACCTGCATCTTTTAGAGCGATGTGATGGAAAGCATGCGAGAGAAATATTATGGGACAAAGCTGTGAGTCGCTGACTGAGTGTTTATTACTCATCTCACACTGTGCCGGGCTGCATGAGGTCACCTGTGTTTTGAGCTGCTCGTCGTGGTAGGTGGAGAAGGTGGTGCGGCAGTGCCCCGGGACGTCCATGCACTCCACTATCTCTGCCATCCTTTGCCTCAGCTCATCGCACTCCCGAGAGGTCAGCAGCCCGTCCAGCACCACGTATCCATCCTCCATGTACTTTAGAACAAGGGAGGAAAGTGCTGCCGAGTTAGAATTTTAGTTTTTCCTTCATGCATGTGTGCACTCACTCAGACAAAGATGTTTTGTTTTCTCAAATTCACATCAAATCTAGGATCAAATGTACAGCATGTATTACCTCAATGTAGGATATTTCCATTTGATTGAACGGTGAATGTCTTGGGTTTGAATATTTCACTAAATTATTTAGTCCCAATTAAGAGCTGGGACATGCTGATCCTTCATGCGCTGCCTATTCACACTAGAGCAACCAACAATTATTTTAAGAAAGATTAATCTGCCAAATATTTGCCCAAAATATGATAGAATTTACTATCAGATAAAATAAGAAAATGCAATTGACCGATTAATCAAATAATTGTCTCACCACCATTCATTGTAGAGGAGGGATCTTTAAGTCCTATCTGGGGTAAAACGTACACACTGTGTACATTCTAACATAATTACATAATATTTTATGACTTTGAAGCACCTCTGTTCTTGAAAGCTGCTTCACTGTTAAACTCGCTTTGTAAAGAGGCTCTTGAGTTCAGTATTTATGTCCTGGTTGTGTCCAAGTGCTCTCCAGTGCCTTTAAGGTAAAATCCCTCTTAAAAGGCAGCTGTGGTGCAATAAACAGGCATTTGCTCGTGCAGACTGCCTCTAACCGGCCGCTTGTGGCTGCAGGTTATGTAATGAGCCTGAAATGTGCTGTCACTTATATCTGCCCCCTCCCTCTGGAACTCTCTCCCCAAACATATCCGAGACTGCGCTGACCTTTCCACATTCAAATCTCAAATCACAACCCACCTGTTCAAAACTGCTTTTAATGTATTGCTTTTATATATAATGATTTTAATGTAAAATCTTGTCTTTGAGTACTCTGAAAAGCGCTATATAAATAAAATGTATTATTATTATTATTATTTAAACTACATGAATGATAATACAGTATTGGAGTATGATACAGTAGAGCTAAAACAACAAAGCTCTACACATTTAATAGTGTTAAATACAGCTTTCTTTGATAATAGCCTTGTTTTAAGGATATTGTAGCCTATATGAGCATTTTTAAGTGCAGTTAAAGCATGCAGTGCACGTCCCGTTAGCTCACTGTAGCCTTGGTTTTTATTTTAACTCAACCTCACCTTCTGCACATCCCGATCCGTCATAAAGTCCATGGTTGTCTGCACAGAAGGGCTCCAGATCGGACGGTTAAACTCCAACCAGCAGCCGCTGATTACCGACCACGTGACACGCCTAAATTAATTAAAGTGAAACCCCGCAGACAGACCGTAATAGGATTTTGGACTTTAACTCTTTCGTTGCGACACACTTGAGGCACATGAACCCTGCTGTAGTAGCTCAGCGTGGCCGCTAGATGTCGCTCATGTCGTTGCTGAGAAACCTTTCCATGTGGATATAGATAGAGGTGAACCACAGCGCCATCTGGTGTATATACCCACTCAGGGTTATTGACGAAGCCCAGACGCAGTGGTGGAATGTAACCTGGTACAAGTAAACGAGTAGCTTCCTTCCGTACTAATTTTGAGGTACTTGTACTTTGAGTATTTACATTTCATGCTACTAAATACTTACTATATATAAAGAGTATAAACTGTATTTTCTGCTCCAATTTATTTTATTTCACAAAAAATATACATTATCAAATATGATTTACTGCTATAGATTAAAATACCAAAGAGAAAAATACCACTATGATGCTTTACGATTACATACTTTTCATATGTTTTGGTAACATACTTTTACTGAATATTAAGTGATATTTTCAACATGTACTTACTTTTATATTGCAGCATAATTGCTACTTTTTTAAAATAAAGGATCTGAATATTTCCTCCGCCACTGCCTGGATGTATAACACATGGCCAATTATAGAGTTAATAACGTGATCATTTCAGTAATGTAAGAGCAAAAAAGGTCATTTTGTAATTCTGACCCTCCAAGTATCGGACCACCAGTTACAATCTGTAGAAAGACATTTACTACACACAGTAATAAATATGTTGCTGAGCTTTCTGCACTGAGACAAGTCAAAATGTCTGCAGAGAAAAAAGGCGCAATAGCGCAACGTCATCATAAAGTAATCAAAATACATTCCAGTGCTCAGAACCGCCCGCCAGATGAGGAAGTAAGACTCTCTGCAACCGGATTTAGTGTTAAGTGTTTATTTCAATATCATGTGTCAGAATGGTACAAAAAGGTAGAGTCTGAACATCAGGAAATAAAGTTCAGTTGTCCATTGTTACAGACGTCCTGCTTAAAAAGCCTGTGTTCAGTCCACTTGGCAACACTTCGTTAATAAAGGCCTTGTCACGTCAGACTGGGCAGATTTAAACAAGTCTTACAGTTCGTGTTCAACAGAGATTGCTGCTCGGGGTTAGGTGGGTTGTATACCTTCAGTGTGGCTGTAATGCAGTTTTTTGAATAATGTGATTTCTGTGCTCAAGTGAAATGGAATGCGAATGTCCAAAAATGTGCACACTTCAGAAACATCAGCTCACCTCCGATTACAGTGTGTTAGATTGTCATGGGTTCCTTCTGTGGAGTAATTAAATCCCGTCTTGTTTTTGGGGAAATGAGCTCCAAAGAAATCAGCATCTCACTGTCGGATCAAAATGTGTTAATCATGAGAACAAACAGATCAACCGTGCTGTTTCACACAAACTACTCTACTTAAGGCAAACGTAACATCATTTAAATAAATTCAGGACAGGCAACACTAAACAAAACTTTTTTTGGTACATTTTCACAGAATGAAACAAAAGCTTTTACATGTATTAAATATAAATGATTCATGTTTAGATGAGAATGGGCCTCTTCTGATGTGATACTGATTAAAGTGCTCGCATGACAGTTTTTAAATTAGCCAAAGGGCATTTTGGTGACCTCAGCTTGGACCTTCAGCCGATTCCCTGATGCCGACGTGAGGTTTTAATGTGCTCCTCATCTCGTGACTCAGAGGGAAGGGACTGTTGTAAGAGCTCTGGAGGTCAGAAAAGAGGATATTTGTGGATATAAATCCAAATGTTAGCAGGACAAAGTGAGACTCGGACACATATAGCCGACTACAGATGTGTAGCGATGCTGACGTAGACCGACCACGACAGAGCTGACAGATAGATGAATATATCAATATGTGTTGAGTCATTGCAGCAAATCTAAGGTGTGGATGACTTCCCAGAAAGAAATATCCATGGCACCGTCATACTTGAAGAGAAAAATGTGCATTTAGGGTTAAACATAGGTCAGAAAAAAAAGTATATTTAGCTGTGATTATCCTCTAATGAGCACCAAGTTAAGGCCAAACAACACTTGACACAACAACTGATGGGCATTGTTTGCCTAATTTGACACCCTGTGGTGCACTGCAGGAGGGAGACCTTTCGTGTCAGCAGCACCAGCGACTGCACTGACCCACTGCAACGAGCCATGTTACGATGTCACGTTTACTGTGGAATGACGTACAAGTCGTCCTACAACTTGTCCCCCTATCTACGGCCAGCTACCGCAGTAGAAGAGTCTTAAATAACTTGCCTATTTGCATTCATTGTTTGGCATCCAACAGGTCGTTAAAAAAAATAAATAAATAAAAAATACATGTTTTGGCAACTTCTTGGCCTCACAGAAATGAAAGGAGAGCAGACACATGGAGCTGGACACGCCACTTAAACCAGTGTTAACGTTTAAAAAGAGATTTCCTTTGAATTACTGTGTTTTTCTGGTGTCATTTGTACCTTTTTGTTGCTTTCGTCTGTGACCTTTGCTTACAACTTTCAAACCGGTTGCTCGTCAACACATTCAAGACTTCTTTCAGAACACGAGCAGTTCACTCATGACCCCCTCTAAGAAGGGAGTCTGGATTTAAGCCAGAAAATCAGTGAAGCAAAACTCACCGTGAACAAAGGTGCGATTGTACCATTACAGTGAAACTTCCCTTTAAAAGAAACAGCTGGAAACAATAAGAGCACATACCATACGACTGATATGAAAAACACATTTCAGCTATACATTTTACAACACACCAAAAAGTCGAACGTGATGCTTGTGATCATTACGAGGGCGTTCAGCTTGTAAAAGGCCGTGTTAGCAGCGAGCTGGAGTAAACATAGCAGGGTTGCTCCAAACGATGCTATTAAATCCAAAGGCTTAACAAGAAAAGTGTTTCAAGCAGAGACAAAGCATGTTGCACTAATTCGGAAAACACAAATGTGGAAATCACATATTCTGCATAATCTCTGTCAATAAATGTTTCCCTTGTGTAGGTGGATCAAAACCAGTTTCCTTCACTCTGTGACTTCCTGTTTGTCCCCAGTTCGCTCTTGAACGGATAAACAAAAATGCTGACAAATGTCTACTTTACCCTGGAGTAGACTGAAGTTAAATACAAGGGCTGACAGATAAACAGCTGGGCACTCCAGTCCCCAACAACATATATTCCAGACTGGCAGTACCTGCCAGCTAGTCTGCAGGAGTTCATCCACAGGTTTTCATAATCCAAAAATCATACCGAGCATAGAAAAGTACCACGATTCTTGCTCGTTTTATTAGTCTACATAATATTCTGGTTGAATGATTAGAGTCGTGCAAGCTTGCGTGTGTTTTAATTTGATGAAGACAAAAATCAACTGCGACGGGGAGTCGTATGAACGTTTGTGAGCCTGTAGCTTTAAGATAGGGACAGCTCACTTCCTGTCAGCAGGGTCAGCACACTTGTGTACTTACAATCTAGTCAGTGAAGGAACATATGTCCGCCTTCAATTGAACAAAGGTCACTTAAGATCTTTGACTACCGGGACATGTTCCACAAGAAATCAATGGCTGTGTAGAATATGTGGCACTCAGTCACTCACTGGTTTGTATTACTTAAATGTTGCACCAATCACAGCCTGTTCCACAGGTACAAACAGGATTTAAAAAGTACTAATTTATGTACCTTGATGGCGGAATAAACTCTTGATTTAGTTTCAACAGGCCAAAAACTGATACAAAGCTCATCACGCGTATTTTAATAAGACACACCAGTAATGTGTGTGCGATGCTCAGTCATGCAAAATAAGGTAAAGCCTGCTTCACATGTCTAAAGAAGACATGTTGTTCAGAGAAGCAAAATAAAAAGTCCGGGAAAAAATGGTGCGTTTCTCCGCTGATGCTCCCAAACAGCCAAGAAACTTAGACGTTGCACTGGAGAGTTTGTGTACTCGTTGTTACATCAGTCCTCCGTGTTAAGGCCTAAGCTGTGGGATGATCCATTGATCTTCATCGGAGTCATTTTGTTCACGTAAAAAGACGTCGAGGGTACAAAGAGCCTGAAGGAAACAACAGGACTAAACCTTCGTATTGCAACACTTTGGCTGGCAGTTGCTCCGTAACTCATTTACTAAGATCTGCCAGTAGCAACATATGTAATTGTAAAAAATGTCAGAAGGCCAGAGGAAGGTCAGGCAAACACTGCTATGTTCAATTTGTGCATGATCAGCAAATACGTGATTGCGAGCACATTTAGCTCAGAGGCAAAGGCTGAATCGTGCAAAGTTTGTTCGGATTTTTACGGCTCCCTCTATTAAACGGGTTTACTTGAGCAAGGTCCTACAGTGGCATGCATATTCAACATCACCTGCTACTATACTTTATATCTCAGGATGATATTACAGGTAAGCCACATTACTTTGATCGTAGACGTCTTTCCTTGGCGACCATGTAACGAGTGATTACCAGGAATACATCCTTGGAGTTTCTTGAAAGCTAACGTCCGTTGCTTTTGTAGCACCGATCAAACAACAAGCCATCACTTTTCTGAGCATGGCTCGCACTGCTGCAAACTCAACGTTAGCCTGCTTTTACAAACAAAAATCTCTGCTCAATTATTCGCTCCAATCAAACATCTCTCCTCTGCGGCTCTCCACAGATGTTCGGCTCAAGCTTGCTCCTTGTCGGCCCTCCACAGCTGCTCTTTGACTTCTGGCGGCAGCGTGTTGAACAGGTCCTCCTCCACCACCAGACTGCTCCTCTTCAACAGACGACACTCGCCGAGCTCCACCGGGAGACACTCGAGGCGGTTCCCTCTCAGCTCCAGCTGGGTCAAGCCGGTGAGTTCCCCGAAGCGCGACGGCAGCGTCTGCAGGCAGTTGTTTCCCAGATTCAGAGTGCGCAGCTTCTTGCACTTGAAGAGCTCCGGGGGCAAAGTCTCGATCTTAAGTAGAGAGAGACAGAATAATGAAGGGTGGAAGTTAACGGTGAACAGAAAGAAAGACGAGCGACAGAATAATGAAGGGTGGACATTAACGGTGAACAGAAAGAAAGACGAGAGACAGAATAATGAAGGGTGGAAGTTAACGGTGAACAGAAAGAAAGACGAGAGACAGAATAATGAAGGGTGGAAGTTAATGGTGAACAGAAAGGTTGTTTTTTTTTCATCCATATGCATTGGCAGGAAACAAAACAAAACAAGATTACAAGGACACTCAATGCTTCACAGCCAGACTTTAGGTGGGAAGCCTCAAAAGTAAATTTAGATTATGGAAAAAGAAAACGCAGAAAAAATGGTTTGAAAAGGCGTCAAACGAATAATCTAAAATGTCCCTTGAAGCCTTTGTGTACTTATGTCCCATGGACAGACGTTTATATATTTATAACTCTCCTTGTTTGTCTCAAAACAAAATGTTTAATCTCTATTCATTGATGTCCTACATATTCACAATATTACATAACTCATTTGAATTGATAATGTCGGATTTAGGTGCGAGAAGGCTCAGAAACCACCAGCGGGGTCCCATTTAATGAAGCTATTTCTGGCGGCACACAAACCCGCTGGAACCGGTTATCAGTGTAAAACCACACAGGCGACCACAGTAAAACAGCAGTAATAGTAGCCTTTACTGAAAACACTTGAGCCGGAGTGAAAAAAACAGAGCTTTCAAGAGTTTCTCACAGTGAGCAGAATGAAACTGCTACATCGGGACTCAAACAAACGTTTTGTTAAGACTGAAATGCTCCTGAAGCCAAACTGACTAACCCAGCCATGACAGTAATGGCAAGATCTGGTACAGCCCTCAAAACATTTAGGTTAATTATCTTTGCGGCAGAAATAAATGACATCCTAAATAAAACCTGTTTGTGAGGATTTACTTGAAAAGCAATCGTTTACTTCTCAGGAAGTCGACGGGTCAAACAGTAACTATCAGAGAGAAGCTAGATTAGGGGGACAGGAGTTCACCATGCTCAAAGAATCATGTGGTCCCACGTAACGTTAAGTTAAACAATATATATTATACAATAAATATGTCCAAGCTGAATGAAAGAATAAAAGAAAATGAAAGCCTCAGTCATGTAGCTACAGTTAAAGCCCAAATTCCCAACCTCTCTGTGAAGATCTCAGTAGTCAAAAGCGTTGACCTTTGTAAATCCCTTATCCGGCCTTTGAGCTAATCTTATTCACACATGACTGTAGAATGGATTGGCGGAGACGGATAACCTCCCTAAGAACAAAGGAAATGAGAGTTCAGATTTGATGGATTTTTCTCCTCTCACCCGGTTTGCCGTCACAGCGAAGTACTGCAGGTTCTGGAGGAAGCCCACGTCGGCGTGGATGCTGGTCAGGTTGTTGTGACTCAGGTCCAAGAAGCGCAGCTTGCGGCAGAAGAAAAGCTGACTGGGGATTTTCTCTATCTTGTTGCGGTTCAGATACAGCCTCTCCATGTTGGTGAGCGTTCCGATCTGAATGGGGATGTAGGCGATCTGGTTGTACCACAGCTTCAGGCACACGAGCCGGTGCAGGTGCTGGAAGCTGATGATCTCCTCGATCGTCTTCAGGTTGTTGTCCTTCAGGTCGATCTCCTCCAGGTTGTGCAAACTGAAGATGGAGTGCGGAATGCGTTCGAGGTCGCAGCGTACGAGCTCGAGCTCCGTCAGGTTGACCATCTTCTTCAGGCTGTTGAGCACCATCAGCTTGGTGCCCTCGTTGTTGATGGAGAGCTTCTGGAGGTGCACGCCCACGTCCGTCACCACCTGCGGCAGCTTGGTCAGGTTGCTTTTCAGACGGAGCACCTTGAGCCTCTTGAGCTCCCGGAGCCCGTCGATGACGATGTAACGGTTGTTCTCGGCACTCAGGTTCCCGGTCAGGTGCAGCTCGCTGAGGTTCTTCAGGCTGTAGATCCACAGCGGGATCTCCTTGATGTCCGTGAACTTGACGTGGAGAGACTTCAGGTTCTCTCTCAGGAAAGCGAGAGCTGGCGCCTCAATTTTAGCCGGCGTGTGGTAGAGCCACATCTCCCTCAGGTTGCAGAGCTGGGCGATGATCGGCGGGATGGTCACGTCGGGGATGAGCTCCAGCTTGAGCACTTCCAGCTCGACCAGGTCAAACACCGTGTCCGGGATCCCGCTGAGCAAGAACAGATGCAGCTCCAGCTTTTCCTGCGAGTTCTTGGTGATGCGCTGCCTCAGCTTCTCCAGCGTCCACTCGTTGTTCAGGTTCAGCTGCCTCAGCTTGTTCTCGCTCACCTCGGACAGGAACACAGCGAAGCGCTTGGAGTACAGAGGGTCGTACTGATCGATCATGTGGAGCATGAAGGCAAAGTCGTTCTTCAGGTCGGGGATGTCGCTGTAACTGCTTTCCTCGCGGATCGATTCGAAGGAGTATCGTTTGAGGGAGCGGCTGACCATCCAACAAAGAGTGTACATGCAGATGAGACCGTAAACCACCACCAGGCTGATGTAGAAACACGCCAAAATCTTAAAAAGAGTTGCTAACGGGTGAGCACAATAGAACGTGCTGTACCCTGTAAGTTTCTGAATGTTCACCGTGCACACCACACTGAACCTGATGTAGCGTACGTAGTAGGCTGTGTAGCTGATTATCAGTATGAACTTGATTACTTTGATGATGGTCTGACGTATGTAAAGACGGTACACGATGTCACCCTCCTCTACGTGGATCCTGAACTTCTTCACCTTCTCAAAAAGAGCCTTGGCCTGCTCTCCTTCCTTTTTATCCAAAACCCCGGTTTCTGAGCGATCGATTATTCCTTGTTCAATCCTGGACTTTGTTCGCTGGAGCATGGGCATGCTAGCCTCAACGTCCTCACTCACACACGAGGCCTTCTTGTCTATCGAGCCGTTCATCTTCCCCAAAGGCTTGGGGTCGCTCTCTACCACCGTCTCAGACAAAGCCCTGGTTGTCCACGGGGAGTCAAAGCACTTGAGGAGGATGGAGACAAAGTGCTCCAGTTTAGAGCTTGTGCGGGGGAACTTGAACCAGAAGTTACTGCACGCCAAGAAGATAAGGGTGTGTAGTAGCACCAGATAGGGGAAATATTTGGCAAACCAGTGCAGTTTGTTCTCGTAGCAGACAGCGTCGACATAGTTGTACTGGTGACGGTCGAGGTCGTACTGAATCCCTTTGGGTTCCGGCGCGTCGGCGGCGCTCACATTCGGGACGGGCATGGTCTCGCAGGACCTGTTGACCACCCACTTGCAAGGCAGGCAGATCATCTTGTCCTGCGTGACCTGCAGCGTGCCGCCGAACACCGCGATCATCAGCATGACGATGGAGATGTAGTCGGTGAAAACGTCCCACCATGGCTTCAGGATGCGGTACGCTGGCTGCGTGTCAGCAAAGTACCGGAGCTCTGTGATGGGAATCATGATGGTTTATCTAAGAAGACAGAAAACAGGGAATTAGTGGCTGACATGTCAAGTTTAAAACATAATACAATGTTTTGGAAACCTGAATGTATTGGGGTAAATGTTAGCATATCAAAATGTCACTCAACAATGATACAACCTGCTATATGGCTCTTCAAATGTGAATATTTTATTTGCTAATAAACTGAATATCTTTAGGTTTTTCGACTGTTGGTCACACGAAACCAGCAATTTAAAGATGTATGCGGGTATTTTAATCACGCAACTTGAGATGCTACTAATGATTATTTATACAAAATGAGATAAACAGCCAAATCGGCACATTTGAGAAGCTGAAACTGGCAAAAGTTTGAAGTTTTTGCTTGAAAAATGATGATGCTGAAACTATTAATGGATTATCAAAATAGTAGCCGATTACTTTTGTGATGTTGGACTCATTGACAGCCAACACCCTCGTGTATCACCAGCTTCTTTATGTATAAAGCAACGGACTACATTTCCTAAAAGATCTAAACAAATTAAAGTGTGCAGTACAGTGTAGCTACCTCTAAACAAATGAACAACATGTTAATAACACCATTTCATGCCCAAGAAGAAAGACATCCCCCTTCTGCTCTGTGCAGTGAAATAAAGAATCAGGCAAATTAATAAATCCAACACAACTAGGGACTCAACTCCAATACAGTTATCATTATCACACATGGAGTCCATTCAGCGAGTTTAAGGCCAAGTGTGGAGGACACCAGACATGTAGCACACAAAGAGCGGCAGTCATCGTATCTGCTGAGGAGTCTAATGTGCATCAGGGTTATCCTGGGTGGGCGCGCTGCATGTAGCGACATCACACTGTGGTTCACAGACTGCAGAGCCAGCTGGATGTAAAAAGCACCACAGAGCCTGACACAGCATGCATGTTCACACATATTTCATAATATATATCTCCTGATGTGCAGCAATGTGTCTGCACAAACACATTCACGGCACGATGGATATGGAGCAGTGTCTTCTTTGAGGACAAAGGTTTGGAATTTAATCTTTAAGAAGTCGGCATGAAATCACACTTAAACATCTGGTCGGGATACTGAACAACAACTCTCAGCAAATAGGAAGTAAAACCAGGCGGGCTGCTGACCACGTAACAAAGAAACCCCAAAACCAGAAGACTCTCCCGGGCGTCCATTTACACTTAAGCACTGTCAAACCACAGCTACTTCCTCACACAGCAAATGTGGGAGTAGTGCAAGAAATACAGCAATCTAAGCATGTTTTCCTTCTTCAAGTTTGTTTCAAAGCTTAATGTCAACCCTGGACTACACTGTTATCTTCTAGAGTATCCAAATAATAATAATAATGGTCTCATCACTTCTGCTTCCTATTGTATCTCCCTGTTCGCTCAGCTCAGCCCTTACTTTCGGGACGAGGATGAAAGAGGATAGCTGGTCAAGTGGTCACAAAAAAGAAAAAGTCTTGTTTTATCCAGTTCAAACCAGAATGGCAGTACAGTCGCTGAGGGCCTCCTCTGTGACGCTGCTGCTGCTGCTTCCACTCAGACACTACAGTAATACCATTTCCACGGTATTAAAAAACAACAACCTTTGACATCAATGTAATTTCCACACTGTATGGCAAACAGATTAATTACACAGCCCAGACCAGAACAGTACATTAAATATGCTATGGCTTGAAACTTGCAGCAACAAGTTCAAACTGTAGATAATGGCCTCTCACATGACGGCACTGATAAGTAAGTAAACTGTAAGAACAAAAGATGTATATCTGGCATGTTTGTTTAAGGACGTTATCCTAGCATCCAGTTCCAGTAAACAGTGTGACTGGTTTCTTTAGTTTGAAAGAACATCACACATTTGTTTCACAATATCTTTACGCAGAACAGTCAGCTTATTTCGTCTCTGCATCACATTGCCCATCTCCCCAAAACAAAGGACTTCTACTTTGTGGAACTAAAGCTATCTGATGTCCAAGAGAATATGATGTAATTATTTGTGATTAAAAAAAACAACTGGATTTCAGAGGAAAAAAAGGTCAAGACTGGAATTAACAACTCTGCTGCTCCTGGCTTCCCGTTTCTAGCCATACCCCGGTACATTTGTTCTGAATCTGTTCCCTGAACAGACCTTCTATTGTGTACAGGCATGTCTTTGTCCATGAGGCGCTGACACATGGTCTGATGGAACTGCAGGTGAACCTGGCCGACAAGAGAGCCAAAATACCAGAGCCGGCTATGACTTCCCTCAAGGACACTAGAGTCTCTCAACTCAAGCTACGGTCAAAGACAAGTAGAGAAAGAAAATCCTGACAAAGATATCTCCCTCTGAAAATGAAATTAAGTAAACCCGAGACCACAGCAAACTAAATTTAGGAATTAGAGAGATAAAAGACAGTGAGCGTTATATCCACGTAACAGCACCATGTTGGGGTCGTCTTTTTGAGCTTGTTAGCACTTAGCTTTATCAGAACGGTGATCTGTCGGACAGACGAATTGCTGTGTGTGAACCTTATGTAAGACTGCCAACCTGTTTATTGTATACACATCAACTCACACAAGGCATTCTGGGATAGCTTCCAGCCCCCTTAAGAAAATAAGTGGTTTAGAAAATAAATGGATAGCTGGATGGAAATATTGATGGAAGCCAGCATTCCCCAATTACTGGCTTGACGTATTTATTACATTGCATTAGATGATATGCACTTTTTGTGTTCGGTATATCTCACACACGTTTACTGGCTTCTTCTCTGTCCCTGGTGCATGGATGAGTGTCAATCTAAAAAGGGTGTGGCACATTTGGGGATTCTTTCACTAGTTCTTCCAGTTGTTGAAGCCGTCCACATCCCAGTGCAGTCGATGCTTCACACGAGCCTCAGACCTTCTGATAATTAATAAAAGGACTCTCAGTGATTACTCTCTAAACAAAAAACTGAATCAGAAGCAATTTTGATCCAAGCATTTAAATCAGTTTTTAAGCAAAAATGCCAAACATTTCCTAATTCTAGCTTCTCCAATGAGAGGATTTGCGGTTTTATATTATTGTATATTAAATACTAGTATATAGTATAAGAATTTTGCTCTCTTCAGCATTAATAACCTTTCCACAAATATATATATTTGAGAGGTTACTGGTTTTTATTAGTCTGCCTGTTTGTCCACTTTTGATTGGGTGCATCTTTTTGAGGTGTGGATGTTAAACGTTTACTGTAAATAAAAATAAATCCAGGATCGTGTTCTTGGCAATCACAGACCCCACACATCCTTTCAAAACAAGATATATTTCCTGTTCCTTGAAATCAAAAGAAACGCTCCTGATCTCAACCCATCTGCCCAAAACCTGGTGTTGCAGCAGGCAGGGCTTTGTTGTCAGTCTTGACCAGGTTTAACTGGTTCTAGCTACTTTATTTTTCACTACAACACTGCTTCTGTGTCACACACACACACACACAACTGTGTAAAGGCACGTGTTGATGACATCATTAAAATAATGTGAATATATATGATTTGCAACCTTACAAGAAACGACTGCAATATTGCCATACACATTTATATTACTACAAATATGACACCAGCTATATTTAAGCTCTTACATTCATATTACAGATAAACTATATCTTATAGTATACCTGCAATATTGGTGTAGTAAGGAAACACGGGGAGGAGAGATTAGATCAAACAACAGCGCTTTACTGAGACGTATATCACAATTTATTAATTAATTTTGCATTTAAATCCATTGTTAACTATCCTAGTATTTAATCGGTAACATTGTTTGTGCTGTCGGCTACAATACAGCAGAATTAATAACCTTTACGTTACCTTTCTGGCCTTCACATGTTACTGATATGAGCGATAATGTCTCATTAGCTATTTTGGGGGGGGATTTAAGATAAAATAACATGCTGTCTACCCCGGAAAGCGACCTCATACCGATGACCAGTGAGCACGCTGCGGCAGAGACACCACCGTGACCCGCACGGCTATTAAAGCCAGTTAAACAAATAAGGGATATTAAGAGAGAGACACACCTGTTTTGGTAAAGACAGTGTCTCTCGGCTCCGCCGCACACGGGTGACACATTTCTCAAACGTTTCTCAGCAGCTGTAGCCGGTCGGACACCGGGCCGGGGCCCCGTACAACAGTGACGGAGGAGAAAAACCACACGAAGGTATAAACTAGAGCGGTGTCGTCCGCTGTCACGAAGACAACTGCTATTGCACGAGACTGGCGGAAGTACTAATATAGAGCCGCCATCAAAATAAAAGCACGGCGGTAGTATGGCAAAGTTGGTTAATTTTAAGAAATCAGAATTTGACATATTTCGTATGATTGTTTTAATATTACGTACAAATGATGTGTTTATAGTCCAATTAGTGATATTATATCATAATCCACTGTCCATTCCCAAATCCATTGTCATTGTTGTTGTTTATGTTCATATTCTTCGATATTTATATTGTACATACTAAGTAGTTAAATGTTAAAGGTTAATGCTTAGTTTCTCTGTTCTACTTTGTTGTCTTTAATGTCCTTACGCATATGCATACATGGCCAATAAAGCTGAATCTGATTCTGATTGTTTCCAATGTTTTCTTTTCATTTTTTCCAATTTGAGATTCTAGATTAGCAGTATGGTACTGCATTGTAAGCATATCATATATTTTTAATTTCATTAGTAACTAGTAACTAATAAGTGTCAAATAAATGTAATGGAGTAAAAAGTACAACATTTCAAGTACTAGTATAAAGTGGCATACAATGGGAATACTCAAGTTAAGAGCCTGTCAAAATTGTACAGTACTTGAGTAAATGTTCTTTGTTACATTCCACCACTGGCAGTGCCTAGTTACACCAGATGAATGGTCATATTGCAATTCCATAAACTGCTGTTCTGTAAAGATTCATAATATTATATCTTAAAGATTTGACTGTGTTAAAGTGGCGTAGTGTTGACTTTATAGTGGCCTTTTAACTACTTGTATTTGTAAATCCTCAACTGTTAATCACATTGCATTTTCTACAATGGTATGCACATAACTATATACATCCGAAGTACATTTTGTGCAATGTTTACAATGTAATATTCTACATCAGAATACAAGAAAAAACAATTCATTGTTTTTAATGTTTTAAGTCTCTGGATTGTGGAACATAAGTGATGTGCAAACCAAGTCAGTAACAGAGGAATACAACAGACAAAACTGTATGTGGACTCACCACAGAGGCAGTGTGTCAGCACTGGGAGGCCTCCTAGTTTCAGACTGACTGCAGTTCCACTTAAACAAGCTCAGCCCACCGTTCAGAGCAAGATTAAGCAACATACCCTTCAGTCAACACCAGCTCACTAAATTTGTTATTTGTGCTGATTGCCATTCAACTCAGCTGCGCTCTCTGGCAGCAGCACTGGCCTCAGCCAGTTGGTGAAGGTGCTTTTGTTATGCATAACCTTCTCTACTTCTCCCTTTCCCTCTAAGCATTGGCAGACGATGAAGCGATGACAACTGTTTGTGCATATTTCTTTGTGCAATACTGCAGGATGCCTCCCCAGACATGTCTTTGAGATTGGAAGAAAAACTCTGACTCTGAGAGGTGTTGTCAAATTATTTATGACACCCTCTGGTGGTTGTGTCAAAGAAGTGACTTGACTTCCCCACACCAGGATGTTTACTTAATCAAAGCTTTAATCAAATTTTGTGTTTGAATATTAACTTGAAGCATCTTTAATGGTGAACTCCAACCAAACAAGGCAATTCATTTTGCAAGATTACCTCCAAACATACTGATCAAGGACAGGCAGAAAACTACAATAGCCAAAAAGCATAAACAAGACTTAACTTTCCTCATTTGGGAATAAATAGAGAATTGTCTTAGCTGACATTGATACAGGACTAGCTGTTCTGTTTCCTCCTAGCCTTTGTTTCACCTCCAAAACAAGTCTATAAACTGTGGTTGACCTGCAATGTATTCTGCTGCTGACATGGCATCCATCAATGAGGGCAACTAGCAGCACTATTGCCCAGGCATAATTTATCTTCAGGGACAATACAGAATCGTATCTGATAATGATTAGAGGGAATGGATGCAATCATGATGTCCGTTTTAACAGTGGACACACATCTTTTGACTGATTAAGAAATTCATGATAACCCACCAAATAGCAGAGTCATATATTTTTGAGATTGCTTAACTAAATATTGACCAGGCTATTGTGATGTTTTGTTGGGACAGATTGTAACTGGCAAATGCCCAGTTTCTGGTTCAGATCCTTGGACTTCATTCTGGCCACACAGGCTTTCTATTTTGTTGATCACATGAATGTATTTAAAAAAGTAACAAATAACTGTCAGGTAATTGTGGTTAAGCAAAAAGTTCAATATATCTGCCTGAACGTAACATAAAAGCACTAAATATCACCTCTAATTTGTAGGCTACTTAATTACAGTACTTGAGAACATGTAGTAGTTATTTTCAACAAGTGAAAAAAATATTTGTAGATAATACATTCACAGAATCAGAAAAGTCCATTTATAGCCTTTGTTATTCTGTCAAAGAGCTCAGAATCTCTATAGAAACTCTATCACATAATTCATTTGTTCTCTTTTATTTGTCTGTTTAGAAGGATATCAGTTGTATGCAAACTTTTTCTAATTTCACCATACACGCATGGCCCACTGAAATGCTTTTAATTTGTTGACAGAACAATTTGTCAATAAAGTTTATTTTGAAAACGTGTTTGACGTCATCAGTCCACGCCAAAAGTGCATGTTGATGAAATTGAAAAAAGGGGACGCTGATATCCTTTAGAAACACCCGTCATGTTGGTTTTACATAAATGTTTTGACATTGTTCGTCCATCCAGTTCTTCGAGGACGATGCTGACTGTCGGCCGGTTGCTTCGGTGTTTTCACGGTCGTGCAGCACCGTCTGGACTCGACTGTCGTCCTCCAGGACCGACGACCACCACAGTCAGGTCCGGGATTCACTCCTCACTAAACCACCGTGATTTGCATATGTTGTTACCTGCTGACGGATGTGCAGCTCGTCTTAGTAGTTCCAGAGGATTCTCTACATCACCGAGCACCAGAAGTGACGCTATTGGAAAGATCGAGGCAAAGCATTATCAACTCGTTTACACATGCAAGGTACCAGTACCAGTGTTTGGGACATTGCTTTTGCGTCTTATCAGATTTTAGTTCAAATGTTTTGGTTGTCTTGGTCTGTTTTTGTGACATGTTTCTGAGTCCTATACCTGACATGCTGTCTGTGTCACTTCTGCAGGTTTGCTCTACCAGGTCCACAGAGAAGATATCCAAGCAGGCGTATCACAAAGGTGTTGTGATAGTGACATGTCCCGGATGTAAGAATCACCATATCATGGCTGATAACCTCAACTGGTTCTCTGACCTGGAAGGGAAGAGGTTGGTGGTGATTGGACTTCTGATCATAAACCAGAATATGTCATTGATTCACAACAACATTCAAAACAGAACCATTACAAGTCATGTGGTTGCCCTGACATTTGGTTAATTTAGAATGGTGACCAAGATATGTACAGAGACACTTAACAGTTAAAAAATTAACTTGTTACTGCACTCTGGTAGACAAATCATGTAATGGCGATTGTTTATAACCTTTAATATATTGAGATTTCTGGTCCACATTTTGTTGTTACTTATTATTGGCTGACATGTGTATAGCAAGTGTTTATCATAGCAGCCACATATCATTCAAAAGATTATTTTAGTTGAGACAGGTGAGAAGAAGAGTAGAACATACACTTTATCAGGAAGTATGAGGTGAGACAGATTGCAAAATTTGGTTTGGGCAAAGGGTGCAAGTTTCCAGGTAAATGGAAATCACAAAATACTGGTTAAATGGATAAAAAACACCTCTGCAACTGCAGTTCAAAATGCACTAGAAATAATTGTGATATTTTGATTAAACCAATAACTGTGTGTACAGTATATTTCTGAATGACTCGTGCTGTGTGCATTTATACTTGTAGAAACATTGAGGAAATCCTTGCTGCCAAAGGAGAGACTGTGAAGAGGATTAAAGGAAGTCCTGCTTTGGAGATATTGGTGGATGAATCCATAAAAGACAAGTCTCCACGTGGTGAAAACACAGAGAAATCAGACAACCCAGAAAAAATATGATGCTGTATTTACACTGTATATTTTAAGATGTTTATATTGAATGATATAATAAACGCAAATGTTTTCCTATGGGATTTGTTGAATAGAGAATTGTATGAGACCAGATCTTAACAGAGGGGGTATAACTTTAATCCCAGCTAACTGATTGCAGATGAAACAGTCAAAGGCAGATAACCAAAGGTATTCAGAAACATTAGATAGTAAACGTGAATCTCCTATAATATATATACTTTAACATATAATATTTAAACATTGAATGTAGTTCCGCTCCAAACTATCCTGTGTTGACACTTTGGGCCGAGAGAGCGTTAGTTCTCGCGAGAACCAACGCCCCTGTTCTCGCGAGAGCAGAGCGTTGTTATTGCTACAGGTTAGCATAGCTAGCACGCAGCCAAGCTATCGTGATATCAGCAGTCTTTCTGAACGGTTGGGAGTGCGATGAATGTATTCGGAGCCCTAGACGAGGCAGACAGGCCACGGCATCACCCTTTCCTAATAGGGGTCAGCGGAGGAACCGCCAGCGGCAAGGTCAGTCTGTTTTAACTGGAAGATCTCCCGACTACGGAAATTAGCAACCTAAGTAGCTTAGCTTAGTTTGCTAGCAGCGCAAACACTAGCTTTATCAAACGGTCACATCAGCTGGCACGCCCCCTTGCTCAGTTAACATTTTCTCATTAAGAACTTATGCTCTGCTAATATTTACTATCTTTACCAACTCCTATTTATCACCTTTTAGCACTAAAAAGCTTCATACAGCTAACTAGCCGCTGTCAAGACTTAGTCAATTCCTTTAATACCTGACCGATAGTCAGCTGATTAACACGAACGTTACATTGAGAAGGTCACCGATAGTAACGGTACAATGTTTTGTTCCACACTTCCTTACATTTTAACGTGTCCTAGCTAGTTTAACCTAGTAAATTAAGCATTCCGATTAGTCATACATGCCAATAACTGAGCATAAGAAGTTGTGTGCCACAGTCAACAGTTTGCGCCAAGATCATGGAGCTCCTAGGCCAAAACAAGGTGGACCGCCGGCAGAGGAAGGTGGCGATTATCAGCCAGGACTGCTTCTACAGGGTCCTGACTCCAGAGCAGAAGGCGAAGGCGCTGAAGGGCCAGTACAACTTTGATCACCCAGGTAGGCCCAGGCCACAGAAACCGCTCGTTTCACACACACACCTTTATTCAAAAGAGGTGCACTGATGTGTTGTTAGACTTATAACATCAATATTGTCCCTCCTGTAATATCCAACCAGCACCAATCCTATTGTGGATTTATTTGTGTTAAACATTCTTATTAAATGTCACACCTGGTGTAGTGTATGTGTACATTGTTTACATGCTGCATGCACTGCATTTAAATTCTACCGTTTGTTTAATGTCTTGCAGAGGCGTTTGACACCGAGTTAATGTATGAAACCTTGAAGGACATCGGGGAGGGAAAGGTGGTTGAAGTTCCAACGTATGACTTTGTCACTCATTCCAGGTAGGAAGGAAGTATTTCACATTGATTCAGGCCTAATGACAAATCTTTTTTTTTTTTTTTTAAATAAAACTAATAATTGTCATCAACATTGCCTCTGTATGAAGAATATGTGCATATTTCCAGGTTGGAGGACAGGATCACAGTTTACCCAGCAGATGTGGTCCTCTTTGAGGGGATCCTGGTCTTCTACCCCCAGACAGTGCGTGATATGTTTCACATGAAGCTCTTTGTGGACACAGATTCAGACGTCAGACTGTCTCGCAGAGGTATTGAAGTCTCCAATCACACACTATATTTCCAGATGTTGCCACAGTATATAAACCATGTAACTTCATTTTCCTGTAGTTCTGCGGGACATGACGAGAGGGAGAGACCTGGAGCAGATTCTCACGCAGTATACAACATTTGTCAAGCCTGCCTTTGAAGAGTTTTGTTTGCCTGTAAGTAAGATTTTTATCACTAATTCTGTGCCTGTTTTCCAGTGTCTTACTCTGCAAACTAATCTTAAGTAATTTGATTCTCTCTCAGACAAAGAAGTATGTAGATGTCATCATTCCAAGGGGAGTTGACAATATGGGTAAGTGTGTGTTTTCCTAACTAAGATGCTTTTCTGCTAATTTCTCCAGCATGAGTGCTTGACAAATTCTCTCTCTCTCTCACCAGTGGCCATCAACCTCATTGTACAGCACATCCAAGATATCCTGAACGGTGACATGTGCAAATGGCGTGCGTCCATATATGGCCACGCACAAGGCTTCAAACGGGCTATTTCTGACCCGGGCGACCTGCAGAGCGGGGCCTCAAATCCTTCAGGAAAGAGGGTCCTGCTGGAGCCCAGTTGTCGGCCTCATTGAGACTGTGTGGACGCATGGGGTGGACGGACGGGTGGGTCCAGACTGTGAATATAAGCTTTTGAGTTGGGATTGCTGCGACGGGTCAGTAGCTGTGATGCCCGTCTCACCTTCTGCAGCAGGTTTTTTGTTCGTTAAGTATCCATTCAGTGCTGCAACCTCTTCATAATTTCACTTTAATTATTGGTCCATAACCAATATAATAGATGCTTGTCACATGTAAAAGTCTTCCAAGATAGTTTGACTTTGGTGACATGACCCGTTACTAAGCTGTATGGTAATGACATGAGGGTAGGAAGCATTATTTAAATGTTTCATTTCAGTCATGCTTTTGCACTTTGACTATCTATATATACATATATATATATATATGCGCTTATGTTTATTATAGGAAGATTATGTTTAAATTCCACTAACCTTTTATCTCGCTGCTTTCCCAGTTTGTTTTAACTTATTTAAGTCTAACATTAGGCCAGGTGGCTGTAGCGGTGTCACACTTTGGTAATTAGTGCTTCCTTTTAATACATGCGTTCGTTTTCCACTGATTTCTGTACAACAATAAATGGAAAAGTGTAAGTGTTATTTGACAATGAAAATGAAGCTTCTGACCAACACAAGGTGTATAGAAACAGAGCTGTTTGTTTTATTGGGAGTTTGAGAGCACAGTGTGATGTGTTGGTTTGGACTATTACCCCGAGAGGGAATCAATGATTTACTACAGCACAGTTTGGAATGACAAACACACAAGTCACCGAGGACTTCAGTCACACAAAACACTCTTTCACACACAGACATGGCTGGGACGTGATTGTGATTGCCTGGTGGTTCTCTACACTTGAACACGGCACACAATTATTCAGTATGACATACATAGATCACAGCATCTTTAGTAATTTATCTTTTTTGTGTTTTTTGCTTTGCTTTTTTTTAGTGCACACACGTATGGCACTTTGGGAGAAGCTAAGCTCTTCTCGTAAGCATAAACATCCTTTTTAAGAACAAAAGGAGCACTGTATATAATACATTTCATAACCATACATGATTCTTACACAAAATGTTTCAAAACTCATCGAATTCCAGTCTGTAATGGTCATCCTCTCTTCCGAGTCCAAATCCCCTCCCCCCACCCCCCAGCAGCTTCGCGTTGACGTCTCAGTTCAGGGCGGGCCGCTCTTGTGGTTCTGCCGTTTTAGGGGACGTCATGAGTCAAGGAGAGGGTCGCAGAAGGAGACCAACAAATGGCACATACATAAAAGAAAGAGGAAGGAGCAACTTGGAAAGTAATGGACCATTCGGCTCAATCTCACACACGCAACAGCTCCACTCTAAAACAGAGAGCCCAGGGAGTAGACTTTGGTTATTTCCGTAGCGTCTCCCCGTCCGCTCTGTGTGATTCTTCACTCATCCTCGGGGGCCGGGCTTCTTCTCGCTTCACCAAAGTCACAGAATCTCTACCCGTCTAAGCGCCGGAGCCACAGTAATCCCAAATATAATCTCCCAGAGCGGCAGAGCTCCTCGTGAACCTCAGCCACGCTTCTGTAGTCTGTAGTTTGTTCTGCATCCAAAGAGTCTTCCATTAGCTCCAGTGGATAAGCTTCCATTCGTCTGTAGTAAAGTGGAGTTAGTGTCATGAAGCACAGTTGGAGGTCAGTCTCGGAGGCCCACGGGGCCCTAGGTCTTCTCCTCGCGCTCCGTCTTGCGCCTGGTGATGTTCCTGGGCTTGATCTTTAGCGACAGCTCCCACAGCGCCTCCTCTGCCAGGTGGTCGCTGAAGTCGTTGAAGAAACAGACGATGTCGTCGTTGCGCTTCAGCTCATAGTGCCTGTGACGACAAGAGGTGGAGGTTTGATTGATGCGGTAATTCATTAGTGGGGAAACAAAACAGCCCGTGTGGAGATGGCCGCGATGCTTAATATTTAATGAAAAACAAAGTAGGCATCCACTGTATTTCCTGCCAGTGCCAATGAAATGATGACATTTATTACTCTGATGTCAACAAAGCGTTCTTATGATATATCAAGAGTACCGGCATCTTTTCATCATAATGTAAATTCATCCCAGTGGACTTACACTTGCTGGAAGCGCCGCATGCTGTCCAGAATGTTGAACTGCTGCCAGCGTTTGGAGAAATTGACCTTCCCGTCGATGAGGTCGGGGTTCCCCAGGTGGACGAAGGTCAAGTCCTGCAGAATGAGACCCCTGGAAGAACGACGAGTCATGTCAAGTCGTGGCTCTCGGATAAAAAAAACATCTGTATGAGATCGAACATTTGATTCACTTACAGGTACGGGATGCACGGAGGCTCAACCTCAGACAGAGCCGCTCTGTACGCTCTGAAGGAGGAGGAGCTGTCAATCAACGTGCAATATTCCTCCAATCCCTGAGAAAAGAATAAGGAGCGATGTGAGAAGTGTTTGACACAAATACTGTAATCGGTGAGAGTAGATGTGTATATTCAGAGACTACATCTCTCCTTTTTTTTTTTACATGCTGATACGTGTGGTAACCTCACCTCTGAGGTCTGTTTCTGCCACTCCAATCTCCTGATGGGGGCGGAGTCCAGAGCGGACAGTATTGCCAGGTAGGAGTTGAAATTATTCAACTTTCTTAAGTGCTGTAATAAGAGATTTGAATAAATGTTACAGCATTAAACAACAAGGAATATTAACACGACAATTAGGATATTCAAGTTGAAGGTGGCTTACCTTCATTATCTTTATGAACTTGAGAAGCAGTTTCTCTCTGTCTTGAGCTTTCTCCTGCTGAATTATCAAAGAGCGGACCCTAAAGGGTAAAGAGAAACAAACAGTGTGCGGTCATCCAGGTGGTATAAGAGGGAAGCCAGTGACAGGTATGGAGATGTGACTGCATGAGGTTTGCGTGTTGGTCTTACCAATAGCTCATGTTGTTAAAGTGCTCTGTGAACTGAGTCAGGTTCGGACTCTTCTCCTCGTTCTGCTCCTTGGCCCAGAGCAGGACCTCAGGGATCTGAAGGAGAACAGGAAAGAGTAAGAAAGTCGAGGTCGACTCTGTGGCGCTCGCAACACAATGAACAAGGAGTGACACACAAACACACCGCTGTACCTCAATTTTATAGAACAGCTCGGCATCAAGAAGAGTGAGCTGATCCGCAATCTCATGACTGCGGAAGTCGTGGAGAGTTCCAGGCCTGTCAGGACACACCAACGATTAGGTGATGTCTTCAAATTACAGTCTTCTACAGTGATTCCCTTTTGGTGCAGTCGAATGCTTTTACAGGAAGTCTGGTCTTGTTGTAACATAAAAATGAACCTAAGGGTTTGAATCTCATTTGGTTATGAAACCTAACTAATCTATCTATTCTAAGGTTATGCATGAATATTAATAGATGGAAGAGATTTGAGAATGTATTTTGGCGTAATAAGTTTCACGCATGCCACACTGCATGACGGGTCTAATAAAACCTCAGTGTCTAAACGTTATCATGTCGGATTGAGTGGTTGTAATATTGTATGTTTTGTATTCATGGTCATTTGTATTTCTCTTACATTTGCACCGCAAAGTCATATGAATCGAATGCCATCGTTAAGAAAGTAAAGTGTACAAGAGAAGAGTTTTCAAGTGAAACATTAAACAACTGAGAGGAGTCATTGTAACACTGTCCGTTTTCCTCAAGGGTACGGAGCTTTAAGAGTGAGGTTACATTACACCTGCTATCCGCACATGCCAGTCTCAGAAAAAGCCGACCCTTGACCCCCCCCCCCCAAATGTACCTTGCGGAGACCCCTCGGGCAGCGAGCGGCTTGAGCGAGTTGGTGTAGCGCAGCAGCTTCCTCTGCTCCACCTTGTCCAGGATGTTCTTGCGGAGCACACGGGCGAGGCTGAGCTCGCCATTGCACACCAGCGTGAACACCAGGTCCATCAGCTGTTTCAAGATGTCCTCCGTCAGCTCCACCAAGCTGGAGGAAGAGTTGTGATGGGAGAGAAGGAAAGAAAGACATTAATTCAACTGGTTATTGATGATCAGACATTTATGACCATTAACGCATCAATTAGAGGGAGATTTGGAACAAAGAGAGCGATCTGCAGATGCTGTTGCAGAAACAGGGACATACTTTCTGGTGATAGCTGTCGGCAGGACAATAAAGTATACTTGGAAACACATGTTCCTGAGCAGGTGCACCACGACTCACCACAGCTCATCAACCACACGGACCAGCACAAAGAATGTGTTCTTGCTGACTCGCTTCTTGAAGGTGTCCGGACTGTGGCAGAACCTGGTGTATGTGCTTAGTGGTCAAGGACAAACAAAACAATACGACATGTAACACAAAATACAGTAAGACATTGAGCTTAAAGCTCCTTGATATGATGCCTCATTAAGATGTGTGGAGTTTTGCTTGCATCCCTCCACTAGAAGAAGATCTTGTGATTCTACAAATCAATTAAAAAATAGCCTTATTATATGGAAACATACATCACACATAAAAGTCTACAGCGGTGCTACCTGCTCTGTCAGCTAGCCGCTAGCTGAAAACAGTGACACAGCATTCCACGTGGACGTTTGCCACCAGAGAGGCAGCATCACGGCAGGCAACATCAGGTTGTGAAGAGTCTATGATGCCCCGCTCTGCTGCGGTGACAGTGAGCAAGATGTACAATTACAACAAGCCCCAATAAATGCAGTAGTAGTTTAAACTTGAGTATCCATCAGGAGAGGACTGGGGGTCTCCATCTATGAATGTTTGTAACTGAGAGCGCTGAATATGAGCAAACAAGTCTTTTCTTGGTAAATAAGGATTTATTTAAGAAAACACTTCACAAGAAAAACAGCCTTCAGCTAACTAAACAGTGATTACGCTCAGAGTGACACGTTGAGTGATTTGAAAAGGATATCTGTAGTGTAGCTTCTTAATGAGGTCCTCGGGGGTTATAAATGTCCTATAAGTAGTCAGAAAGGCTTCACAGTACAAAACAAGATCTGTCGAGAAAAAAAAAAGCAACATATTTCAATTGAAGTGCAGCAAGAGCTCCCAATTAAATGGCTTGAGCTGAAAACACATCAAATGTGAAGGCTGCATAGCCGCCATACATACTGACACATCGCCGATAACTGAACCACAGAGACACACTGAGGCTATTTAGAATGCTGCTCACATGACGAGATTAGAAAAGCAATAACACATCTGTCAAACTATAGAACCACACTTTACAAATAAAAAAGACATAAATCTGTCTTTGAATTGAAATAACTGCAGGTCTGTCAAGGTAGCAGAAGTTGTCCCAGTGACCCAGAAGCCCAGTAACATACTGAGCTGACGGGGTGAGTGTGAGTCGGAACGTGCTCTGTACTGTACCTTTGCGGTCCGTTTCGGTAGCATGGACTAATAGAATATCTCCTGATCCTGCACGAACGTCAGGGCCATCATCGCTCTGGGGGGAAATGAAAAAAAGAGAGCAAGCGAGGTGTAAAGAATTGGAGAAAATGAACGACAGACAGAGAGATGGAGAGAGATGGATGAGATGAGAGGAAACGAGTGGTTAGAAATGATGAGCGATGATGCACTCTAGCCCAAAATGTAGCCTGCACCTTTCCTTCTTCTGCCTGTTTTTCTTGCTTTGCTCCCCCCTCTGAACAGCCCCCACCTCTCCCTGTCCTGCACCAGCTCCCCTGATGACGAAGAAAAACTCAGACTTGTGTATGATAAAAGCCCAACCACTGCAATATGTCTTCTGTAACAACTCTACATGTCACCGCAGGCTATGAATCCTCCCTCCTCTCATTTCTAACACCTCAGCATCTCCTTTTAGTGAATCATTGCTGCCATATTGCCCCTAACCTTGCAGAGGAGCGTTTTCACACATCTGTCTGTCAGACTGCACCACACAGGACAAAGGAGGAGTAGGCGTAGGAGGAGGAGGGCGCTTTGTCAATTTCAGCTCTGCAATTTCAGATACTTAACAGCAGGGGGCAGCAACGGCCGTCCCTGGTACATCTCAGGGTCTGATTTCACATGCGAGTGACTCACAGTGACCTTTAGCCTGTGCTGGACTAACAGGATAAAATGTGCTTTGTATGCCGGTGCTGCACACTTGTGTCACGGCAGATTTCTAAAAACAGTACGCGGCCTCAGCAGCGGGTGGGTGTCTTACTTCTTGTTTTAGTGTTATCCTGCTCATGATCTCCTTGTGGTCTATGAGGGACAGCTCGTCTACGTCTTCCTCATCGCTCCCAGCCGACTCTGTTGACTTCTGCCTCCTAAAAACGAACACACACACACGTCATCACAACGGTAATCAGCACAGAAACACTCACACATATCTGACACACCAATGACTGCAGCAGTCATACTGCATACAGGAGCTGAAATGTTGATACAGTCGTCGGTTTCAGCTTCTCAAATGTGAGGATTTAATGTTTTTCTTTGTCATGTTTAATAGCACATTTAATATCTTTGGATTTTTTGACCATTTCTGAATTTATCATCTTGGGGTCTGTAAAATAATAGTGGGTATTTTTCATGAATTTGCAACATTTTAGAGAAAAACGATTAGTCAATTAATTGGCATCATATGAAGTGGGACACAGAGTATATCACCTACAGGACCACGTTACGACCCTTACCTCTCCTTGTCCAAAGCCTCTTTGCTGTTGGCGGATGGCATTTGAGGGGCGGAGTCTTGAAGTACGTCGTCAGCTGTGATCGTTTCCTAATCATGAGGGGAAAAGCAATAATCAACACGTGACCTGTAAGTTACATGGAACAGCACGGATGAATGGTTCCGTGCAGTGACAGGCGGCTGGCTGCTGATGAGGGATGAACCACCAGTGCATGCAACACTGTTGGTGGAAGGGAGGAAGGATGCTTTGTACAAACATCTACACAAAGTAAATAAATTCTTGTTGATGGTTAAAATACAGATTTTCTTGAGTATGAACGAGGAAAAACCCAACAGATGAGACGCCAGAGTGTAGAACTCATACACACGGAAACTGCACCACACGTAAAACTACAAATGCAATCACACACACCTACACATTGTTTGCTCTCGCTTACCGTACATTTGCTCACAACCCAAACACACCTTAAATACACCCTGAACGTACACGCCGGCCCACGGGAATACAAGCGCACAACCACACACGCTGTAAAAACATGCACAGGTGCACTTAAGCGGTTATGGGAAATGTTATTGGAAAAATTGAAAACCGGCGGACCGTTGAGAATCCCGTTAGGAGCGGCGACATGTCAGGTGTTAGATCTGAACAAGGTTAAATGCTGGTTACAGTAAAAGTGCAGCCACAGAGACAGCAATCACCAGCCAGTGCAGCCAGAGCAACATACAGACTTCTACCCACAGACACCAACCACAGCACATGAGTCCCTCGCAGGCAAACCCGTGAACCTGAAGTCATGCTCAGTCAGATTTTGGCTACATTCACATTCCATTTCAGCGCCATCAGTTCGAGGGATGAATCGATACGAGCAGCTCGCTGCGAGTGATGTCTGCCAGTCAAACGGGGCCTCTTTGCTTCAAACCCCACCCCGCCGCATTTCGAATCGATTCATACTCCCGAAGTGACGGGACGTGCAAATGGAATTGACCTTTCACCCGTGGCGGTGAGCTACTTACTCTGAGGGAGAGAGGCAGCTCCCCATTGGCCTGGCTGGACGAGTACAAGTTGACGTACTCCCCCTCTCCGCCCTCGTCGTTTGCGCACTCGCTCTACGGGAGAAGAGGAGGCACACAAACCCAGGCGTGAGGGTGCGGAGAGGGGCACAGAGTGTTTGCTAACAGACGGCAAGTGTGAATATGTGGCTAAGGAGGAGGGGGAAGCGGCTAGCTGGGGTTTGGTTTTGGTACAGTGAGCGCCGTGTTTTCATCATCGTGACCACCGGGTGGCACTGGAGAGCATCATTTGTAGAAGGTAATACTATTTACTGGCAAAAAAAAAAAGAAACATGCAGTGCAACATGCTCTACTGGGATTCTTTTAAGACCAATAATCAGACAGCAGACAGTTTGTGGGCAGTGATGATGACAACAAGACACAACTAACTGAATGAGTCACTGTATTATCATCTGAGCAACAATACTGAGCACCACACTGCTGTTATCTAACAGCAATCTGCCAGAGGAAGGGGTCCAACGTCACAATTTATCATCCGTCTTCCGAGAGCTGGTTCACTGAAGTGTTCCGCTTGTGCTTCAGACATCTATCCTGTGTAAGCTCACCGCTGAGGTGTGGAGAGAGTCAGTGAGAGAAGACTCAGAAGGAAGACAGACAGCCACAGAGCCCATTGAGCCCGCCAGGGAACCGTTGGGCCCGCCCCTGCCGCCGCCATCCAGAATGGTGGCATTGGTCAAGGCAACCTGGTCCAAGCTCTGTGATTGGTGGAAAGAAAGGAAAGCAAGAAAAGAAAGGAAAAATAAAAGAAAAGAGAGCAATAAGAAGATCAGAGCGGTGAAGACAGAGCAGAGAGGAAAGGAAGCTGAACAATAGGAAGCATTGCTAAGGAGACGTGTTCACCTCATTCTCCTACAACTCCATTAAGCCTGGGCTTTGAGAATGATGTGCCTGAACATGAAATAAATTGCACGCACACACACAGAGACACACACACACAAAATAATGCCAAACAGTGTCAACAGACGCATCTCCTGTGAGATAACATGGAAGATGGCAAGATGGAAATCTTTAAACGATGGAAACACCACCTCTGAGTGTGAATATGTGTTTAGGCAAGAGATGTCTTCACAATGTGCATGAGTGTGTGTGTGTGTGGCCAGCTGAGGAGATGCCTGTCTGCAGGGAGGTAGTGGTAACCTGTTTTAACACGTTGCGAATATCAGCATACCGGCATGAAGCGGCGGATACACAGATCACTGATAAACATCACACACACTCGGCTGACACCAACACACACACACACACAGACGCGTGCACGCGTTCATGCACAGACACGCAGGACCGGCAGGAAATCAAGGCAGCTCAGTCGCCTCCTTTTCATAACAGCAGTCTTAAAAAAAACACTGTCTGTTCTAACATCAGCAACACACACAGGGGGGAGACACTTCTCCATTAAAACTGAAATACTGGATATTTCTTCCCCTTTCTTTCCCACTCGACATATGCAGAGCATCTTTTCCTGGCATGCCTTACCACGCCTTAAAAAAAACATCCCCCTAAAAACATCACGCCCCTAAGGAGTTGAGGAATGCAAACATTCCACAGAAACGGACACATGGGAGGCGTGGAGGTGCGTGTGCGTTCGGGGCGGGAGGAGGTGGCGGTGAAGAGGAGACTGCACAGATAGGAGAAAAGTGTGTGGACAGCGACCGACGCTGGAGCACGAAAAAAAAGACGAGGAGGAGAGGAGAGGAGCAGAAACAGCTGGAATGTGTTTTCCATCAGGTCCATCTGGTGCTGCATTCCACTGCAGATACCCTGAGGGAGATCCACACCATGCTCGCACACTATGGGGTCACCGTGGGTCAACCCCCCTTCAAAATACTGACCCAACCACTGTAAGACAGAGTCAGGGTCAGGCCATAAGTAGCTGGAATATAGCACTGATTAACCACGAGCTAAATTCATTAACAAGAACCTGTTGATGGGTGAAACATTCCAGTGGGACACACAAAGGGCTATGTGGCTGCTTATAATCCCCAACCAAAGGCCTCACGGTCTCCTGTGATATTTGGATGGGCCGCTCCAGACACACAACTCACTTTCTGTGTCTCTGAGGCAAACAGAGAAGAGGGAACGGGTCAAAGAATTACCCGTCATGTGGAGGAATGCTTCAGTGCAACACACAGAACTTGGCGAGCCACATGCAACAAATAACTGCACACACACACACACACACACACACACACACACACACACACACACACACATGCACACAACACTGCAAAGCACACATTAATAACATCATATATAATACTTCAGCTAAAAAAAAAAACACACAGAAAAACAACAAATTCACACGGTCAAAACAAATGCACACATGGATGGGTGGGTGAACAAAGTGAAGGAGCACCAAACCACGACCCTTGAGGGATGACCCCATCAAAAAGGAAAATAGATAGACTGCATCGCATATGGAGCACACACGCACACACACACACACACACACACACACACACACACACACAGGTTAAGCCGCCCCTGGACCAGTCCAGGACCACACAGCACCCACACCGGAGTGGAGACATAGAGGTGGAGCGATGGGGGGGGACTCACCGTGGGTGTGATCAAAGAAGCCTGGCCAATCAGGTAGGAGTTAGAAACGGACATGCTGAGGCCCAGCCCAGAGCCCGCCTCCTCCATGGCCGCCACAGACGGCTGGAGGTGGCAGGAGAGAGAAGAGGAGGAGGAGGAAGAGGGGGAGGAAGAGTGGGAGGCCTGAGAGAAGGAAACAAAGAGGAAGAAAAAGAAAAGGTAGAAAAGATAGAAAATAAATTGAGAGACAGTAACAGGGGTTAAGGACGGCAAAGAGGGAGAAAACATGGTGTTATAGGAGAAAAAAGGGGACAGTTGATTACACTCGTAAGTGAGACTGAATTAGAGCAGATTTAATCAAAGATCAGCAGAAGTGAAGCGGTGAAAGCTGGGGAGGTTTCTGGTAGTTTGGCTGAGAAGCAGCAGCTTACTGCCGGTGGAAGTAAATACTTAACAGACTAGCGCTGTTGAAGTGCTACTGAATATGTGTGTACTGTTTAATTTAGAGTTCTTTCTAGGAAGTAATTACTAAAAGGTCATGTGACGTGTACAGGTTACACACCGTTGTTACGTATAGACCTTCTTTCAGTATCTCCAGCTTTAGAGGCCTTTCCAGAAACCAGGCCAACTACAACACGTCCTTAACAGGGCCAATGGGATCCGTTTGATTTCTGCACCCATTTCGTTATCCACGCAGCAGCTGAAATTACTTTTCAGAAATGTTTTTTATAGCAAAGCCGTGTAAAGTCGCCAATGCGTGTAAGCCTGGAACATGGGTTTATGGAGGAAGCAAACCGGCTTATTCCACTGGGCCACGAGCTCATCAAGTCCAAAACATGAGGCCAGATTAGGCCTCGCGGCTGGAGCAGAGATGAGTGCAGTTGGACTGTGCGCTCAGACAAAAAGAATGATAAAAATAAAAGCTCTAAATACAGTGTTGTGGTGGCGGAGAGAGGACAATGGACAAAGAGAGAGAGAAGAAAGACTCTCTGAGGTGGCCCGGGTAGACTGCCACTCAGCCACAGAGTCTATTTTCATTGCTGGGGCTCCGATACTGTACATCCAGCTCTGCCCTGCAGGACAGCACCATCGGTTTACTGTCCACAAATGTATCGCCGTCACTACTACACAGCTTTAGGACAACCACAGATCAATGTGTCACCTTCAAATATGTATGGACGGCATTAGTGGGGGAAAATACGCAAGTGGGTTTCTTTGTGAGAACTCTCATTGTCTCATTTGTGACACAAACCACGGACCGTCTGAACATGCAATGTTTTTCTGATTTTGTAGCTCTACAGTGGTATATTTCTATGGGTTATTCCAGGGGGCTTTTAAAAATGTGTATTTGGAAAGCGGCAGGAGACACACGCGACTTACTCCAATTAACGTTGTTTTGTGCAGGTTCTCGTTTCCCCGAATCTCTACATCAACATTAATTAAAGTGAAATCAAGAGTTTTACTCTCAAAAACTGATTGATGCGTGGAAGTAGTGTCACCTCTTTCTAACTGATCCCATCCCACCCCACATCAAACCAGTGACAAGAGCATTGAGACAAAAAAGGAATTGCACAAATATCTACTGACAAATAATAACCAAAATTGGCAGAAAATAGCGTGAACATGTCGGACCCCACCGCTCATACCGTAGTAAGAAGAATCATTTGTCGGGCCTTTAAAAGGTTTTATTTCAGACTCACATGGCTCCTCACAAGGTGCCTTCTCCTGCTGTGATCTATCCAATCGTGTCTCCTCCTCTCTCCCCTCACTGACTCGCTGTCAGACAGTTGTCTCAATTAACCCAGACGCCGACCCAGATTAAGATAAGTGGACTGGATCTGATGTGTGGCTGATAAAGGCTGGTCTTATCTCCCACTGACAACCAAACACCTCTGTGTGCGTGTACAAAAGTCTGCTTTGGTTTCAGAGAGGGGAGATGGAGAGAGTAAGGACGGGGGGGGGGGGGGCTGAATAGGTGAGAGAGATAACAAAATAGGAGGAGACTCCACTGAAGAATAATGATGGTTACCACTGGAATGCATCCTGCTGCATTCTTCCCCCGCCAGCATAAGGCATGAAGACTTTTAAACCAGCACAGAGCTCTACCAAAGAGGGGTGTAGTTTGAATTTGAGGAAGAGGAACTGAACAGTTTAAGGAATTTAATTTACAGTTTTGCTCACACAGTCCAAATTATTTAAACCAACAATTCATTTCTACCCACATGCAACAAAAGACATTAAATTTAACCCTGGCAGTTTATAAGAAACAGCACATTATCAAAGTGCTTCAGAAGCGTTCTTGTCATCACACTTGCACACACGGAGAGGTTTTTCTTACCAGCTGCCTTTGTTTCGGGGGCAATGCTGGAGGCAGCAGCGGCTCGTGGACTGAGTCGGTGCTGCTGAAGGAGTCGTTGAAGCCGTAGACCTCCTGGAAGCGCTTGTTGCGCTGCTCGTAGATGCTCTCACTCTGGGGCATCTGGTAGAACACCGAGGGCTGCGGCTCGGAGTAGTCTTCCACAAACTGCATGTACTGGAGGACTGGAGGTGGATTAGATTAACAAACATGTATCGTTTATTTTGCTGTGACTCAACAAAGTCAAGAATACTGACACTAAACTTTGTCCGTATAACACATTTTTGGATTAAATTAAGCCTCACTTTTCATAAAGGGGGCACTCCAATGATTTAGTATTGCACTTCCACAAAGTTGGAAGACTTTAAGAGACATGCTAAAAAATAAATCAAAAGCAGCAAAGGCCGAGATATCATAACAAAAAGGTTTTCCAGCTAAAAATGTCTCCAAGCCCAACATGAGATCACCCTGATGACATCACCAGTTATTTCTCAGAATTGACTAAACTCCCTCAGAGCCACAGAAGATATTTTACAACTTTTTTTGTAAAATCCGTGATGTCCCTTTAAACTGGCTTCAAGGTAGTTGTCCACCTAAAATCTCAGATGCATGTAGTCATACACTATGATCAGTGTTTCAGCCAGCAGGAAGGGCTGGCCGTTTGGAATGACATAATACAGTAGCTTGAGAGGAAGTGATGTAGCAGGTGTGTCATGACCAAATGACCAAACGTTGCCCTCGGTGCCCCTGGAGCCGGCCCCATTGTAGCACATCCTGGTTTTCACTTCCTGCCTCTATTCACTGTGGAATATTTCCTTGACATAAGCTGTGCCTCAATGAACTGATGACAAAGTGCAGCCAATTTCCCACTGACTCTTCCTAAAATCACCCTCATCCATTACTGTATTCCTCCCTACATTAGACTCTTTGTCCCTTCCTTTGCCTCAGTGCCCGCTACGCATTCATCTCAATTAAAGCTCGTTCTTCTTCTTCCCTGCCTTCATCGCTCCCTCATTACACTCCCATCCCGTCACTTACTGTGTCTGCTTTTCTTCTCCGGCAATGGAGGTGGGCTGACATCTGCATGCTCGCCGGCTATGTACTGGGTGACGAACACGCCCCCGTTCGTCTGCGGCATGGGTGAGATGGGTGTGAACAGGGGGAATGGCGGCGTAGGGTGCAGCTCCTCTTCTGACAAGTTGTCATATTGGGAGGGGTAGCGCTCATACAGCACCCTGGAGCCCGCGTCAGGGAAGGGCGACTGGGTGCTGCGCCGCTTCTTCTGGGGAAGGGCGGGGGGCGCGCTGACGCGGAAGGAATGTAAGGGATTGGTTTGATTGGGCTGCGGGGTCCAGTACTCTGGCTGCTGCTGTGAGGGGGGAGCGCTGAAGCGGGGATGTGAGGGATGCTGTCCGGGGACCGGGGAAGAGGACTCGCTGTGAGACTCGGGCAGGGGGCTCAGGCACCCTCCTACTGGTATCGGGGGTAGGTTTTCCCCAGCTGACAAGTCCTGGTGGAGGAAGTCATAATCCGGGTCGTAAGTCTCCGTGTTGTCTGAAAAGGTAAAAAAAACTAAAAGGTACAAATTGCATTTGAATCATCATAAAAATCAGACTGAACACACACAACCAGAATGTAGCTTTCAACTGTAACACCATCACAACAAATGAGATGAAAAACTTTAAGGAGACGAGCAAAAGTTTGTCACGGGTTTGGTAAATTGGTTCCATTTTTGATCTGGTTCCCTATTTGCCAAATACCCGGATTAGCTTTCAAAATAACAAAACTCTTATCGAAAGAGGAGTGTAGAAAATACTTAGGAAACGAAAACAAGCAGGCAATACTGCGTGAAAATGACACGTTACCAGTAATCGACCATATTGGCTGGAGCTGACTGACGGTAATTGTCTTACGGTTACAGTATGCAAAAACTTTTGTGTGTTGTCTGGTCAATGTGCTCTTTGTAAGCCTGTGTGTGTGTGTGTGTGTGTGTGTGTGTGTGTGTGTGAGAGAGAATTCAAAAGGATTTGCATTAGATTCAGATTGATAAAACTCCATCAAACCCCAACCGCAGCTTTGCCTTCGTAGTCCTACCTAGCGTCTCACAGCTGGTGTTACGAGAACACTGACCGCTGTCCTGCTCCATGGAGGAAAGCTGTTCGTCGGACTTGCTGAGTTTCCCCATGCTGCTGCACGGAGACAGGCGGGGGGAGTCCCCCCCATAGGACTGGCTCCCCCCAGAGAAACGCCTCTGGAGGAACTCCTGCTCATAGTCCTGCTGCTGCACACACAAAGAAAGACCTTCAGCACTCATTTTTTTCCTTAATGGTCAGTTTAGTGAATCTGTTAGTTACACATCAATGGTTCCTCCACCTGTCTGTGGACGCTGCAAGGCAAGCTGGAGCCACGGCTCATCGGGGCAACCACCGCAACCCGCGTAGGCGAAGGGGCTGACTGACGCTTCTTAGGGGGAAGAGCTGGCGGAGGGCTGCAGATATGAAACGCAAACAGAAACGGCAGAATAAAATAACTCGTACGATGGATGTTTTTGTACAAGAAGCAAAGTCAATACAGACAACCAGGCAAGCACGCAAAACACGCTTTCTCAGGCATGTATGCACACACAAATCCATGTATGAATACATGAACACACACATTGTCATCCCTCCTATAGCAGGATGAAAGTGAGGGTGTTTCATGTTAGCCTCTCTCACCTATGACATGATGCTGTGCTGCTTGTCAAACCTAAATTCAGTGCGTTAATACCGGGTCAAAATGGGGCGGAGAGCGGAACATAAGGCACCATGATATGGAGGCCAGCACAGGTCAGTCACACACTCATGCACTGCACGGCCCTCTGATTGGATGAGGACTTCTTCGGGAAATGCTCAGGATAAAACAAAAGTTTGGGAGAATGCAACCATGCAAGTCAAAAACACTTTCATCCAATCCAGAAGCTTTATGGGGGTCTGGGGTGGGATGTTATAACGGAGACAGGTGATCCTACGGGCTAACATACTTCTCCTTCTGAGAGGGTCTCCTTTGGCCGGCGTCAGCACTCAACTGTGCTCTGTTCCCAGAATCCAAAGGGAAACCAAAGATGAAACAAGTAGAAAGAGTAAGAAAGGAGGAGACAGAGCAACAGACAAACCAAAGTGTGCCATATTTAAAGCCCGGAGTGTGAAAGTGAAAGATTCTAAGGAGTCTGGTATTTTGAGCATTTGGCTCGATGGACCTGTGGCTGGCTCGCATGGGAAAAGAAATCTTTGATTTTCAAACTCAAAAAAGGTCAAAAGTCAGTGAAAATGAAATAAGGAACTCCTCTTTCCCTCCCATACCCACATCCTAAAAACCTTCTTTATTCCTCATTTGATAGCACTGAATTATTTTCGTTCTAAAAATAAATTCAATCTAAAGTGAAACGGCTGTGATGAAGAAATCCACAGTGGGCTTCACTTTTATGAGACCGTTGCAAAAGGTCACAACATTTCTGTGGCCACATCGTCGTCACTGCTTCTCATTGGATGGAGACAAAACTGAAAAAGGAACCTTGAACTGAGACGGAATTTCATACTTGATCTTGTAAAAGCTTTAAGACTTTATCACGGCAACAAATACAGCTAAATGAGACATCTTGTACCGCCGTTCTGCATCCTCTCTATATAGAGACGATTAATGGATCGAACTCTGAAATCCAAGGCGCTGAAGTGTGTGTGTGTGTCGTCCCCACCTGAGCTCTGCCATTTTGGCTTCAGGAAGGGGGGGTTTGGGAGGGGCCACGTCCTCATCTGGTATGTCGGAGGCAGCCTCTGCGGGAGTAGCTGCCGGAGCCGTCTTATTCGAGACCTCCTGCTCCCGATCTATCAAGGGCATCTCTGACGACACGCTGCTACACACAGAGAAGCCGTCTGAGTGAACAAACTACTTTGAGTGTGTGGTTTGTATTCTGCAGAGCACACACGGAGCACACTCACCTCTCTGCTGTGGTAGCAGGTGGTGATGGTTTGTTTGGGCTGGTGGGTGACGGCTGCTCCTGTTTCTCTATGGTCAGCTTCACCAATTCCTGTTCAGAGAAAGAGCTTTCAGTGGCTGCTACAATAACACACAACACTCCCCACAACATCTCTTTTATCAGCGAAGGGCCTACCTTTACTCCATCCAGGACCGCTTTGATGACGCTGGTGACGGACGCCACGTTTTCCTTGTCCTCCAAGTCGATGCCATCCAGCATCACCTGGTCCGCCCAACGGATGAGGTTGGCGAGACTCTGATACACGCGGTTATGGCAGGAAGACAGCGCCGAACTGTTGGAGAATACGGTTGGGTGAGCGTAAGAGTATAGAGCACAGCATTGGGGGGAGAAACTCAAGAAGGATAAACAGAAATGCGGCATATGGAACAGACAAAGAGACAATGTACAGGAGGTGAGAGACGGTATGGAAACCAGAGGTTCAGAAAGGAGATTGATTCAAGACAGCACAACAGACGGTTGAGAAAAACTAAATGCAATGGTGACAAAAATCACACATATCATACACTTCCATCTGTCTACCAGCTATTAAACTACAAATTTATGGGGCATTTGTTGAGGAGGTATGCCTGACTACAAGCTTAGAGGTTGGAATAAGCGGGAAGGGAAGAATGTACAACCACACAGAGAAGTGGGGTGTTGTTTCTGCCTGTAGTGAACAGTACATGTAGACGCAACACTAAGGTGTGGCCCCGGCCTGTACCAACATGCTGACGCTGATTCACAGTGCGGGAATACCCATCCGCTGTCTCTGTGCGGCTTAGCTCGACGGTGAGCAGGATTTAGAGGATGGTGATGCAGTTGGAAGGGTGGAGAGGTTTGACCCAGAAAGACTAAAGGGCTGAAAGTTATACTGTAACTAAGCAGGAACAGTGGAATTACAATTAAGTCCACATCTATGAGTAACTAGTCAGTACGTGTTTCACACACAAACCTTTCGGCAAATAAGCACTTTAATCAACTTAACACTGTGCGCCACAACCGCGGGTAGGAGTCACACCCACTGTTGACCTACTTATTTGACCGATATTGATTTAAATCACTGCAGACTGTAACACTGTAGTGCACTGTGGATGTTTAACAGATGGTAAGACATTGTTCGCATTATTAGCATGTGAGGGTAAGACTCAATAGTGACTTGATGTACAGTAGTTTATTTGCCAAAACAAACAATCTGCCGAACTTCTACTGTGCTCTGTTGGGGTTTGACTCCATTAGACTGAGGCCGAATCCCCAGAGACGGCTGCTTCTCAATGTTGCAGCAACAATCCATCAATCGCTTCTAAACACAGGGCTGCGAGAGACAAAATCTGTCACCTCTGACCTCCACACTGTCATCCGTACTGACGGATGGGGAAAGGCACAAAGACAAAGAAGTTCTGACATGTCTTCACAATCCCCCAAAAAAAACTGCAGCTAAGGTTACGTTTCGCAGAAAGGGTTTACTATATCTGAAGGTAACACTTCTGATAGCGTGCCACATGAACACTTAGCGATACATGAGCGTAAATTTAAAGGCTTCAGGCATCAAGTCCGGCAGCTTTGATGTCAACATACCATCAATCTTCATGAGCTGCTAAGCCAGTGGTAGTCTACCTCATGCCGGTTCTAACGTGTCCTGCATGCATACCAACTATGTCATGAGTTACGTCATCAGGCAGCAATGACAAGAATTCATTGAGAAATGGTGCATTGCGAAGATCTATAGCAGGAAAAGGGTAGCAAACAGGAAGCAAGAGTTTTTTTCTATAAGAACAAACAACTCACCTGTGCTGTATCCGGGCCTCTACCTGAACCAGAGGCAGGATGGCTTCGAGCACCTTGCTGGCCGAGCCTGGAAGCATCTCAAGCACCTTCTTCTCCACGACCATCTTGTCCACGATTGTCTTGAAGTAGCGCAGGGCACTGACCACCTCCTTCTCATGCTCCTCCAGCCGGCTGACCTTCTACAAACAAAGGGAAGCAATAACACAGAACACTATTTTTCAGAATTGCACAACACAGCTACTTATGCTTTTCATGATGACGCTGAACATTTTACAAGCTTTTTAAAACATTATAAACGGAGTACGCAGTGAAACTTGACCTATCTATTGATCTATTATTTGGACCGTCGCCACAGTCTGGTCTTCATACTGTGTTTCTATTATTACCATAGTCTGCTTGCTGTTCAAAGAACCATCTATCAAGTGATGTGGCTTGGAGCCATTTTTTGGTACTACAGCAACAGGCTCTTTCAGCTTCTCTATCCTTTCGCAGCAGGGCTGCTAGGGAATATACTCTTTACACCGAAAGCCTTAAGAGGGAGTGGAGGAGTTCATTCAGGAAGCGGCCCAGTTCCATTCATGTCTTTATAGGTTTAGACACCTGCTGTAGCGCAGCCAGCCGCCACAGCGACTGGGAAGCTGTGGGAACCAGCAGGGAACACATAAGACACAATGGAGTATGGAGAGCACAAAACATTAAGCAGGAAACAAATCATTTCACAAACAAACACACGGAAAAAAGGTGGGAAAGAGATGGATTTCCCACAATACACATATTTTCTGGCACCTGAACACACACACACACACACACACACACACACACACACACACACACACACACACACACACACACACACACACACACACACACACACACACACACACCTTGTTTGCAGGTTTCTCGGCACTCTTGGCTGCTGGCTCGGGCTGCAGTTGCTTGCCCTTCTTGGATGGAGTCCTCTTGATCTTGGGAGAGTGGAACTTGTCCATCAGCTTCATGGTGAACGAGGACAAATGGGACCGCTGCGAGTCTACGGACAAGAGGGAAAACAAGAGAAAGTTGAGTGGTCAGTCGAGGAGGAGAGATTACAAGATACAATACTGTATCTTTACTGTATCTGTATCTTTAAAAAGGAGAGAAATATTACTAACGGAGCATTTCATCTGCTCTTCCTGCTGCCAACAATAAATCTGCTGGACAGGCACAGTCATAGAGCCTCTTCCAGCAGTCAATTATGTGCACGGATGCGTGCACACACACATGTGAGAGCACGCAAAGGGAGACGAGGACAGAGCCGAGGAGCGGGGTCACATTAAAACACTCTAGTTAGGGCCGAGGGGAAAAGTGCTTTATGGGACATAATTGAGAGAAGCGTCATGAAAGTGGAGCAATCTAGCAGATTTCCACTTGTTCGCTGCAGAGAGGGTTATCAGTGACTAAATGACACCTCTATCTGGTGTGATCCCCCCTCAGCTCGACTACAGCGGGATCCGACATTCCACGGTCATCAGCGTAAAAACACTGAATGGCGAATAGCGAGCAACAAAACACCACCAACTAGACTTCCAGCCGGTCGGCACTTTCATCTGCACCATCGATCCGCACGCGGCGCACACATCCACCCTACCGTTATCTCCCCCCTCCGCCCCTAATCCCCATCATCCCTTACTCCGACCAAAAGCCAAAGTTTGCTGAGGCAGCCAAGGACGAGGATGTGTGCGTCTCTCATTAAAAATGTTGATGAGAACGCTTCCAGTGGAGTTTCCTTCCGATGCAAATGCATGTGGATGAGGCCGGCTTTGACCCCTCAGGCTGCTGCTTTACACCGTGTCCACAAAAAAAAAAAAAACCTTATGCTGTGCAAAACTAAATCAAAGCTGGCTGTTCAGCGGGCATTGGTAAGTCACCGATGGTGCATGGCTGATTCAATAAAGTACAGAGTTACTGGACGTGGATCGCATTACCCGTGCCGTGCCACCTTTAATCTGCATTTACTGACCTCATTCCTAACATCCCAACAAGTCAAAGCACTCACACAAGCATGACATAGGCCTAAATGTCAGCTTTGTTACAATAAAACATAACTATAAATGTTAGAAGACAAATATAGAGTTTTTGTGAATTTTATTCGTAGCCCAGTTATGTCACTACAAAAGGCAAAGCCGCCATGTAACAGAGACATGGTCCTCTTCATTCAGGGTATCCTGTAAACAGATAAAACATCAGCTCGTCAGCCAGGGAGAATTGTGGTAGATAGCAGGAAGACAAAGTGTTTGAGTTTATCAGAGTCAGACGAGTGACTAGACACAGTGAAGACGACCGTACTGTGTAGCTTGGCCACAAAGGGATGCTGTGCTGCATCAGTGCACCCAATAGAGCCTGAACAGCACAGCTATGGCTGACAGTGTGTGAGGGTTGTTTTTTTTTTTTGCACCCTGAGGCTACACACATACCTGTGATAGCCAGCTTTGCCACAAGTCAGGATGCTATCCTGGCCAGGTTTCACTTTTTACTGCAGAGTGTGTATTGGGCCGCGTGCTCTCTGATCGCACAGCAGCCTGCGTATGAATTTAGGCTCACATAATCCAATCCGTTTGACCTTGTTTCCCGTCCTATTCCTGGCACGAGTGCAAGGCCTGTGGCCGACGTCACGATTTGATCTGACCCGCTCGCTCAATCCCAGCTTGAACGGGCCCAGAAGGACCATGTGTGAGTTTACAGCTGCAGCCCCAGAGTTGAGGAGCAGCGTGACATCAGCACAATGAGTCACCGCCAAGATCGATACAGCTGGTCCCCGAGACGCCATCGCAGCACCCCGGCACGGCTCGACTGTTCATCATGCACACTGGACCGGTTCCAGGTCTCCTCTGCTCCCTATTCATTTGTTGTTTTTTTACCACCTCCCTTCCTCTCTCTCTCTCTCTCTCTCTCTCTCTCTCTCGCTCTCTCTCTCTTCAGTTCTAAGAACAGAAAGCCCCCCCCCCCTCCTCGAGAGTTCACTGGAAGTCTGGTTCAGCATGGAAATGACATCATCCACAGAAAGAAATGAACACGGGTGAAAGAGAGAGAAAACACAGTGAATTCCTCTGTTACAGTTACAGTCACGTACGCCTCTCGACGTCCACCCTTTACGACGCGTTGATGTCATTGCTTGTAATGTCTATTACACTGAATCTCACTAGCCATGGGCCGAATAGGAGACTGAAAGGAACCTCGCAGTGAAAACATTATGCCCGGCCAACAACATCCCTTTCTGCCTCCTAAACATTTTCATACACATTTTTATTCTCCAGAGCCAATATCTGGGTTTGTACTGCCTTAAGACTGCTTTTAGAGTAGCAGCAGTACACAGAGGAAGATTGGTACTTCTGATACAATATTACCAGAATGGACCGGATCATTCATAACTTTCTCCCCTTGTTGATTCCTGCTCGTGCCTCCCAAATGCCTCTTCCCTGCTCCATTTAAAACACAATACAGCAGCAGAGCCGGCCTGATGAACAGCTAAGTGTGGTTACACTTCCATAAAGGGTTAGATTTCACTCCCAAGAGAACTGAACACACACACAATTCCCATGAGCCTCTTTGTTACACTGCAACCTCAGAGTACAGTGTGATGGGTTTATAGTTCTACAGTTAATGAGGCAATAAAACACATGATAAACAATTCTTATTTGTTTTAAATTGGCAAAAAAAAAGAAAGAATGAGTGACATTTTTCATGATGCGATGAATCTATAAAATCAGGGCATCCCTAAAATCAGATTGTTGACAATAAATAGTGAAAGATTTAGCAAGTAAACATCTTTTGGGGACTTTTAATTGCTTGAATGCATTGCTGCTTTGAAAGGCCGTGGGGACATTTAAAACAAACACTCTTGAACAAAGCCTGGGAGGGTTCTCACAACTCTGTGGTGTGGTGGAGTCCCCAGGAGCCTTCAGGCTCAAAGCGTCTTCACACAATAAGTAAATACACACACACACACACACACATCCTTTCTCATTAACTGTGGGCCCCCACAGACCACCAAATATTCTGTTGAGCAGAAAGGTTATATATCAATAACAGCCATCGCAGTACATTTAGTGTCTTTCATAGAAATCCGACCAATGCAGGGTTTAATACTTCCAAATCAGTATCACTAAAAAGTATAAAGTCATATTTCAGGGATTTCTCTGCCTCTCTGGTCTTCAGCATGGTTGCCAGAGTAAATTAATCACAACTATAAAATTGTTTATTATGTCTTTTGGCGTAAGGCACATTTGATTGTGTTTTCAAAAGGTGTAATGAATAAATAAAGCTTTCACACACCTTCGAGGCTTTCTGCCTTCTAATAAACTACGTTTTATTAGTGTAAACAGTGTGTGTTCTTTTCTATTTATAGGACAGCCTCTGTGAGCACGAGAAGGTTGGTTGTAGTTTAATGGACAACACATATCCATATACATGTAGTTTTAGTCAAAACCTTGGATTTACACGCCAACTCATTGGAGCTACATTTGCTTGCGATTTGCTTCAACTGATTTGTACCTAAACAATGCAATGCCCCACACATTTAGCTTCCTAGATGAACACAATGCTGCCTGTTCAAACGCATGGACAGAGTATATACAGTTGAATATTTTCCGTGGGAAACAACAGGACCCCCTGCTGTCTGATGACCGGTGACATACGAGCTGGTCCAGATCTGTCTGAAGAGCCGACAGGCGGGCAGATTGATCTGTTTCTTGTTCAGTACAGGTGTGATCTATACAGGACAACTGGTCGCGTTGCCCCCCCCCCCAACCCACTATAGGATGTAAACTGGGTGGAGGGATACAGGGGAGGCTGTGCGTAAGGTGACACACACACAGCTGTCACCTCCCGCTGAACTCAGCGAGGACTGCTCAATGAAAGTGTGCAACGCGCACGAGGACTTGTTGAGCAAGATAGAAGATCGCAACAGCAGTTAATATTGGTTGAACTGATGCGTGGAGAATGAATGAACCCCCCTAAATGAAATGTAATCTGCTCCTGCTCTCTACTGAGAGAATGAAAATCTATGAATACGTAGACATACTGTATTTAGGATGGCGATTAACACAGGGAGACAGATTAAACCTTTTGTTTAAGCATTGGCTATAAGCGGTGCTTTTTTAAAAACACAGAATCCCTCCACTCTTGACACACATAAGTAGAACTCCCCCCCGGGATACATGTAAATAGACCGTGCGTTGTTTATAAGCAACCGTGCCTGCAATGACGCCTTATTTGGCTATAAAAACAACAACACGGTGAGTGAATTAGTGTCGGCTACACTGTAAAACAAAACCGCAAAAAAAAGTGCCGTGCCAAGGCATCTTTTCTCCACAGGCGAGACCTGCTGCAGAGCAAGAGTGTGGAATGTAAGCCCGAGGCAGGCGAGATGAACAGTGGGGAGGAAAATGGAGAAAAATTCAACAGGAAATAGTTAAGTGCTCTGTGAATTATTTATTCTCCCCCCCATTGTAGTGGTTGGCTTCCTGCTGGGTGTGTTCAATTTACAATAGGAATCCTCCTCCATGTCCTCAGCGGGCTGAGGGAGCCAAACTCCTGCCAAAGGATGGCAGGGAGACGAGGGAGGCCCCGGTATGGAACGTGGCCCCTGCTCTAACAGTTGGTTTCAGGAGTAATGGAGGAAAGAAGTCCAGCGGTGGGTTTTTACAGTTGTCCCGCTGCGAGCCACAGCAAGACCGAGAGCCTCCAGTCTATTCACTGAGTCAGTAAAGGACGCTAAGTGCTCGGCACACTTACAGTCTATTGTATTTCACTCAGACGGAGGAGACGCAGAAGAAAGGTTGCCATGTGATAAATCAAATTGTCAACGTAAAAATGAGACATCCGAATACGGGACTAAAATAAACATAATGGGCAAAATCATTTTTGACTCTGTAATTACATCAGGGACGACAATAAAACATTAGTCATTACTGACTGAAGGGGGCTGATTGAGATGAATGCGTCGCTGCAGTAATAGAAAATAGCTCACTATTATACAATTACTTTTCAAAA